GTTGCATGGATGCAGCTGAAGGCCTTCCAGTTTGAAAGGCAAACGGGCTGCCAAGCAGGGCTGTTAAATGGCAGGATAAACGGACCAGATTAAACGCCGTAGCGTCATCGGGCGTTCTGGTTACGGAAGGCAGATCTGCGCCGTGCATGGTTTTTACCCACGGGAGAGAATAGTTCGAGCTCCGGGTTGAACTGGGGGGTCCTGGGGGCTCTGGGAGCTTGGGAGGGGGGGGTTCTTGCAGGCATTTCATGACCTGACTAGGTAACATCATCAGGGATAGTAGGGAGGAGAAGGAGGATTGAGGGTCCTTGGTGCTCTCTAAGCTGGGTGGTTTCCTTGCAGACATTTCATGACCCAACTAGATAATGTCATCAGTGCTAGAAGGGAGGGGGAATTGCAGAGTGGAGGAGGAGGAGGAGGAGGAGGAGGAGGAGGACTGTGGGGCACTTGATACTCTCGGAGCTTGGTGGGTTTTTGCAGACGTGTCTTTACCCAATTAGCTAGCATTATCAGGGCTTATTTCTTGGCTGGGTATTAATCCTGGGGTTAATCTCTGCTTATATTACTGATTCAATAATCAAGGTATGAACAATACCCCAGTCTAGGAGCTACCGAGGGCCCTCCCTCCAACATGAACGGGGCAAGCCACTAGTATATAAACAGAGCAAGCCCAGCGTCCTTCTCGCACGGATGATGTTACCTAGCTGGGCCATGAAACGCCTGCAAGGAAACCACCAAGCTCAGAGAGCACCAAGGACCCCAGAGTCAACGTCGTCGTCCTCTTCCTCCTCCCCCCCCTTTCTGGCACTGATGATGTTACCTAGTTGAGTTATGAAACGTCTGCAACAAAACCACCAAGCACCAAGGACCCCACAGTTCTCCTCCTCCTCCTGCTCCTCCTCCTCCTCACAAACCTCCTCCTTTCTAGCACTGATGATGTTACCCAGTTGGGTAATGAAACGTCTGCAAGAAAACAACCAAGCTCAGAGAGCACCAAGGACCACACAGTTCTTCTTCTTCTTCTTCTTCTTCTTCTTCTTCTTCTTCTTCTTCTTCTTCTTCTTCTTCTTCTTCTTCTTCTTCTTCTTCTTCTTCTTCTTCTTCTTCTTCTTCTTCTTCTTCTTCTTCTTCTTCTTCTTCTTCTTCTTCTTATTCTTCTTCTTCTTCTTCTTCTTCTTCTTCTTCTTCTTCTTCTTCTTCTTCTTCTTCTTCTTCTTCTTCTTCTTCTTCTTCTCCTCCTCCTCCTCCTCCTCCTCCTCCTCCTCCTCCTCCTCCTCCTCCTCCTCTTCCTTCCTCCTCCTCCTCTTCCTTCCTCCTCCTCCTCCTCCCCCCCCATCCCCATCCTTCTCATTTTCCAGCAATTCCCACTTCGGCTTCCTCATTGACTTTGCTTGTCAGACGGTCGCAAAAGGGGATCACGTGACCCGGGACTCTGCAACCGTCATAAATATGAGTCAGTTGCCAACCGTCTGAATTTTGGTCACGTGACCATGGAGATGGTGTAACAGTTGTAAGTGTGCAAAACAGTGATAAGTCCCTTTTTCAGGGCTGTTGTCACTTCAGACGGTCACTAAATGGACTGTCGTATATCGAGGAGGACTATCTATTTTTTGATTGGCTTAAGAAATCTGTCTGCTGCAAGGAATAGACCATGGAACAGGAGGGAATTTTGCTTTCACATCCAGTGTGCCCTCAAAGTAACCTCCATGCCCCCCCCCAATAAAAATAAGGTGAGGAATGTATCTTTTTCCTTCTCGCTTCCCATTTTTGTGGGGCCCCATATTGTGCATTCGTTTAATCCGTTTATTGCAAAAAAAAAAACCCAGTGGCTGAATGAAGCAGAGAAGGATTTTATTTCAGTGTTTGTGTGTGTGTGTGTGTGTGTGTGTTTTAAGCTGCATTAATGTAAGGTTTTTGCAATTTGCGTCTTATCCGGCTTTATTGGATCATAACTCCCATTGTGCACAGCCAGTGGGGCCTTGGGGGGGTTTTGTAATCCCACCTATTTGGAAGGGAAACCGCCAATTCACCAACTGGCTTGCGGAGAAGTAATTGTTTGGGAAGCTCCTTATGGTCCGAATTGTGATCCAAAATCGGACATTGTGAGGCTTACAATCATGCATTATATAGTTTAGTCCTCGACTTACAACTAGGATTTTCGTTCCTAAGCGTTGCAGTTTGTTAAGTGAGCTTGCCCTTAATTTTACGACCTTTTTTTGTGCCACACTGGTTAATTGAATCACTGCAGTTGTTAAGTCAGTCAATCAAGCATTATATAGATAGTCCTCGACTTATGACTAGAATTTCTGTTGCTAAGCGTGGCAGTTGTTAAGTGAGTTTGCACCTGATTTTATGACCTTTGTCAAAGTAATGATTTAACTGCTAACCAGCTTATGTAATGTAAGATGTAAGGATGGGAATGACTCAGCAGGGTCTATGTCCCTTGAAGAGCCAGCAGGGTCTGTGTCCCTTGAAGAGCCAGCAGGGTCTGTGTCTCTTTAAGATCCAGCAGGGTCTGTATCTCTTTAAGAGCCTCTGTGTAAAAGGGAAGGTGCCGTTGTTGTGGTCTCTCTCTTCCATTTACTACCTGTAACTGTGGTGTGTTAGATCTTGCTGTATTAGCACGTGTATGTCTATTGTTCCTGGTATATGATATGGTAGATAGTGTAAGATAAACCACCATTTAATATAGACCACCGTTGACTGTGTTTACTTCCTGGGTTATCCCAGCGCAATAAGACGGTGCACGCTCTGACAACCTTTTCTTCCAGGTTGGTTAAGTGAATCACTGCAGTTGTTAAGTGAATCAATCAAGCGTTATATAGATAGTCCTCAAGTTACGACTAGAATTTCCGTTGCTAAACTTGGCGGTTGCTAAGTGAGTTTGTGCCAGATTTTATGATCTTTTCTTCCACATCAGTTAAGTGAATCACTGCAGTTAAGTGAATCAATCAAGCAGTATATAGAGAGTCCTTGAGATGACTAGAATTTCTGTTGCTAAGCCTGGCAGTTGTTAAGTGAGTTTGTCGCCTCCTTTTAACAATCATTTTTGCCCTGTAATTAAGTGAATCACTCCAGCATTACATAGATAGTCCTCAACCAAAATTTTCATTGATAATGGAATGGAATGTAGAACAGAACAGAATAGAATATGGAATATAGAATATAGAATATAGAATGGAATGGGATAGAATATAGAATAGAATGGAATGGAATGGAATGTAGAATAGAATAGAATAGAACAGTGGTTCTCAACCTGTGGGTCGGGACCCCATTTGGGGTCGAACGACCATTTCACGGGGGTCACCAAACAATGCAGTCCGCCATTTTCCCCCTTTTCCTTAGCTGTGCTACTCCCTTTTATTCTATTGGCTTTTGAAAGCCAATAGAAGAGACTCTCTTGAATAGAGTCTGATTCTATTGGCTTTCAAAAGCCAATAGGAATTGTCCAGGCTGTCTCTGCCCTGCTGAGCCCGCCAAAAGCCCCAGTCTGCAAACCGGTGCTGCACCGGTTGAGTAGTCCTCGACTTACGACCGGTTGAGTAGTCCTCGACTTACGACCGGTTGGGGGTCGCGGCATTAAAAAGGTTGAGAACCACTGGAATAGAATATAGAATAGAATAGAATAGAATAGAATATAGAATAGAAAATAGAACAGAAAATAGAACAGAATGAATAGAATAAGGAATAGAATAAGGAATAGAACAAGGAATAGAATAGAATAGAATAGAATAGAATAATAACTTTATTGTCACTTTGAATGTACACTAATCGGCATACATTAAAATGAAATTTCATTGCACAGCTCTCAGAGGGTCACCACCTCTGATATACGCTACATAAATGTGACAAAAATAAATAAATAAATTATGCATATGCCCACCTATATTATATGACACAGAGAAACAATAGTTATGTAGACAGGTGCATGGCGAGCAAAACGAATCTTGCGAGTTTACCAGACAGATAGGCATAGGGAAGAAAGCTATTATAGAATCGGGTAGTCCTGCTATAAATACTTCCGAACCTTCTCCCAGAGCGGAGCAACAGGAACAGACTGCGAAGTGGATGTGTGGGGTCTCGAGCGATGCTTTGACCTCTAAGCCAGTGGTTCTCAACCTGTGGGGTCGGGACCCCATTTGGGGCTGAACGACCCTTTCACGGGGGTCGCCAAACAACGCAGTCCGCCATTTTTTTCCCCCTTTTCCTTAGCTGTGCTACTCCCTTTTATTCTATTGGCTTTTGAAAGCCCATAGAAGAGACTCTCTTGAATAGAGTCTAATTCTATTGGCTTTCCAAAGCCAATAGGAATTGTCCAGGCTGTCTCTGCCCTGCTGAGCCCGCCAAAAATCCCATTCTGCAAACGGTGCTGCACCAGTTGAGTAGTCCTCGACTTACGACCGGTTGAGTAGTCCTCGACTTACGACCGGTTGGGGGGTCGCAGCATTAAAAAGGTTGAGAACCACTGCTCTAAGCACATATGAACGCTTATAAGTAGCATCCTGAACACCGGGGGGCAAGCATCCTATGATCTTTCTAGGCAACGGCGGTGGTGAAGTAAGTTGTGCCTGATTTTACGACTGTTTTTGCCAGGGTTGTCAGGTAAATCTTTGCAGTTGTTAAACGAATTGCTTGGTCGCTAAGCGAATCCAGCTTCCTGCATTGACTTCGCTTGTTGGAAGCTAGCTGGGAAGGTCTCAAATAAAGAGCATGTGACCTTATGTTGCTGCAACCGTTGTATATATTGCCAAAGTGCCCAAATTTTGATTATGTGACGGTGGGGGGGGGAGAGGTTACTGCAATGGTCGTATGTGTGAGGACCAGTCGTAAGTCCCTTTTTTCGGCAATTGTTGTAACTTTAAACGGAGGCTAAACGAATGTTTGTAAATTGAGAACTGCCTGTATAAAGGTCATTTCTTCCCCCGTTTCGTTAATTGCACTTCTGTTCCATTGTGGTGTTTTTATTCTCTTTTTGTTTTGTTTTTTTTTTTCCGTTCCAGTTGAAACTGTGGAACAAATTCCGGGTTTCTAACATCCCCTCGCTGATATTTATAGATGCCAACACTGGGAAAGTGATTTGTCGGAATGGCCTTTTGGTGATCCGGGACGACCCAGAAGGTGAGTGGAGATGGAACGCGTTCCTTGTCGGGCCAAAATTCATGTAGGTACCGAGGTGAGAAACAATGGCCCTTTTATGTTTTCTGGACTTCAACTCCCAGAATTCCTGAGCCAACAAGGGGGACTATGGCCCTTTTATGACTTGTGGACTTCAACTCCCAGAATTCCTTAGCCAGCATGGGGAACAATGGCTCTTATATGATTTCTGGACTTCAACTCCCAGAATTCCTGAGTCAACAAGGGGAACTATGGCCCTTTTATGACTTGTGGACTTCCACCTAGCTGACTTTCATGCTTAAGGTGGGACTAGAACTCACCATCGCCTGGGGTGATTTACTCAAAGTCACCCAGTCAGCTTTCATGCCTAAGGTTAGAACTCACTGTCTCCTGGTGATTGGCCGAAAATCACCCAGCCGGCTTTCATGCTTAAGTGGGACTAGAACTCACCGTCTCCTGGTGATTGGCCGAAAGTCACCCATCTGACTTTCATGCCTAAGGCGGGACTAGAACTCACCGTCTCCTGGTGATTGGCCAAAAGTCACCCATCCGACTTTCATTCCTAAGGTGGGACTAGAACTCAGCGTCTCCTGGTGATTGGCCGAAAGTCACCCATCCGACTTTCATGTCTAAGGCAGGATTAGAACTCACCATTTCCTGGTGATTGGCCCAAAGTCATTCAGTTGGTTTTTGTGCCTAAGGCAGAACTAGAACTCAGCGTCTCCTGGTGATTGGCCGAAAGTCACCCATCCGACTTTCATGCCTAAGGCGGGACTAGAACTCACCGTCTCCTGGTGATTGGCCGAAAGTCACCCATCCGACTTTCGTGCCTAAGGCGGGACTAGAACTCACTGATTCCTAGTGATTGGCCCAGAGTCATTCAGTTGGTTTTTGTGCCTAAGGCAGAACTAGAACTCACCGTCTCCTGGTGATTGGCCGAAAGTTACCCAGCTGGCCTTTGTGCTTAAGGTAGGACTAGAACTCACCGTCTCCTGGTGATTGGCCCAAAGTCATCCATCTGGCAGAACTAGAACTCACCCTCTCCTAGTTTCTAACCTATTGCCTTAACCATTAGACCCATCTGACTCTCATTCATGGTGAGAGGTGGATGGAATTTTAATTAATTCAATAAATAGCCATCTCTCTCGGCAGCCTCTCTTGACCCCCTCCCTTCTTTCTGCTTCCGTCCCCCAGGGCTGGAGTTCCCTTGGGGCCCTCGGCCGTTCGGCGAGGTGGTGGCCGGCCCCCTTCTCCGAAATAGCGGGCCTCCCCTCGAGAGCAGCGTCCTGGAAGGCTCCCATGTCGGGGTTTACTTCTCTGCGCACTGGGTAAGCCCCCCTCTTCTCCTTCTCTGGGGTCTCCATTTTCATCCGAGTTTTCCCTGAATTTGTCCTGACTAGAAGTTTTTAAGAAGAGACTGGACAGCCATTTGTCCAAAATGGTGTAGGGTTTCCTGCCTGAGCAGGGGGTTGGACTAGATGACCTCCAAGGTCCCTTCCAACTTTATTATTATTATTAACAACCTGCCTCCAGAGGTTGTGGATGCTGCAACATTGGAAGTTTTTAAGAAGAGACTGGACAGCCATTTTTCTGAAATGGGATAGAGTTTCCTGCCTGAGCAGGGGGTTGGACTAGATGACCTCCAAGTTCCCTTCCGACTTTATTATTATTATTATTAACAACCTGCCTCCAGAGATTGTGGATGCTGCAGTTTTTAAGAAGAAACTAGTTTCCTGCCTGAGTAGGGGGTTGGACTAGATGACCTCCAAGGTCCCTTCCAACATCATCATCATCATCATCATTATTATTATTCCTTGAAATTGCAAAGGTTTAGTTTCAGCTTCAGGCTCCAGGGCGTTCTCGACTTACGCCTTCCCATTGCAAACAGTCACATGAACGCTGGACCTCACTCTGCCCACCACTCCACATACAGTGGCAATGAGTTCCACAAGCGAACAGTGGGCCTATGCAGATGAATCCAACTTAAAAGCAATTCTCGACTTATGACTTATGACCTGGACTCAAAGATCTGATGGTTCGTGGGGGGGGGGACATGTCATGTGACCGGACTTCTGAATCCCTACAGGGGGTCCTCAAGTTATGACCACAATTGAGCCCCAAATTTCTGTCGCTAAGCGAGACATTTGTGAAGTGAATGTTGACCCATTTTACAACCTTTCTTGCCACCGTCGTTAAGCGAATCAACACCGTTCTTAATTCAGCAACACTGTTGTTAAGTGAATCTGGCTTCCCCCCTGTTGACGTGGCTGGTCAGAAGGTGGTGACTGTCATAAATATGAGTCAATTGCCAAGCATCTGAATTTTGGTCACGTGACTGCGGAGATGCTGCAACGGTCGTAAGTGTGAAAAACGGTCGTAAGTCACTTTTTTCAGTGCCGTTGTAACTTCGGACAGTCACTAAATGAAACATCGTAAGTTGAGGACTCCCTGTTTCCTGATTCATCCTTCGCTTGTAGTGGGGCTTCTGTGTCTGCATTTCCTAGGAGCCCTGCATTTTGGTGAGGGAAAATCCACTTAAGTTTCTAGTCCTCTGCGTGTATCAGTTTGCCAGCCTGCATCCCATATTATTCTAGTTATTTCTGGCACTTGGAGAGAAAGGGACCAAAAAAAAAAAAATGTATTTTTTGTAGTATATCAAGAGCTTTCCTATTTCCTCGGCTGTTTGCCTTAATTTTAATTCTTGTTTTTTGTTTGTTTGTTTGCTTGCTTGCTTTTTCTTTCTGCAGTGCCCGCCTTGTCGAAGCCTCACTCGGGTTTTGGTGGAATCGTACCGGAAAATCAAAGAAACTGGTCAAAAATTCGAGATTGTCTTCGTTAGTGCCGACAGGTAAGTACGAATTGCATCAAGAATCCCAAACTGAAGGGCATAAATCCTGTTTTTGCTTTTCGTCCTTTTTATTACCTGGGTGGAATGGAGACCAGTTGAGTATTGGAGAAAGGGAGGGAGGTAGGGAAGAAGGAAGAAAGGAAGGAAGGAAGGGGAAGAAAGGAGAAATGGAAGAAAAGAAACGGAAAGGAAAAAGAAAGGAAGGAAGGAGGAAGGAGTAATGAGGGAGGAAGAGAGCAAGAGAGGAAAGAAGGAAGGAGAGAAGAAGGAAGGAAAGTGAAGGAGGAGAAGAGAAAATGAGAAGAGGGAAGAAAGAAAGAAGAAAGATTTGGAGAATGAAGGAAAGGGAGGGAGGGAGGAAGGAAGGAAGGGGAAGAAAAGAAAAATGGAAGACACGGGAAGGAAAAAGAAAGGAAGGAAGGAGGAAGGAGTAATGAGGGAAGAAGAGAGCAAGAGAGGAAAGAAGGAAGGAGAGAAGAAGGAAGGAAAGTGAAGAGGAAAAGAAAATGAGAAGAGGGAAGAAAGATTTGGAGAATGAAGGAAAGGGAGGGAGGGAGGAAGGGGGAGAAAAGAGAAATGGAAAAAAGAAAAGAGAAGGAAAAGGAAAAAGGAAGGAAGGAGGAAGGAGTAATGAGGGAGGAAGAGAGCAAGAGAGGAAAGAAGGAAGGAGAGAAGAAGGAAGGAAAGTGAAGAGGAGAGGAGAAGAGAAAATGAGAAGAGGGAAGAAAGAAGGAAGATTTGGAGAATGAAGGAAAGGGAGGGAGGGAGCGAGGAAGGGAAGAAGGTTAAGAAAATAAGTGAAGTGGAGGGAGGGAAGGCAGGAGGGAAGGAAAGAGAGACAGGAAGGGAGGTATAAAGGAAGGAAGGAAGAAGGAGAGAAATAAAATAAAGAAATAGGGAAGAGGAAGGAAGAAAGAAGTGAAGGATAAAAAGGAAGGAAGGAAGGAAGGAAGGAAGGAGGGAGGGAAGGAAGACCAAATACAAAGGTGTAGAATATGGCTCAATAGTATAACTGTGAGAGGGATCTCGGAGTCCTAGTGGACAATCCCTTAAATAGGAGCCAGCCATGTGCTGCAGCTGCCAAAAAAGCCAACACAGAGCTAGGCTGCATTAACAGAGGGACAGAATCAAGATCATGGGAAGTATTAATATCACTTTACAAGGCCTTGGTAAGGCCACACTTGGAATACGGCATCCAGTTTTGGTCACCACGATGTAAAAAAGATGCTGAGACTCTAGAAAGAGTGCAGAGAAGAGGAACAAGGATGATTAGGGGGCTGGAGGCTAAAACGTATAAGGAACGGTTGCTGGAATTGGGGATGTCTAGTTTAATGAAGAGAAGGACGAGGGGGGACATGATAGCAGCATTCCAATATCTCAGGGGCTGCCCCAAAGAAGAGGGAGTCAAGCTATCCTCCAAAGCACCTGAAGGCAGGACAAGAAGCAACGGTGGAAACTAATCAAGGAGAGAAGCAACCTAGAACTAAGGAGAAACTTCCTGACAGTTAGAACAATTAACCAGTGGAACAACCTGCCTCCAGGAGCGGTGAATGCTCCAACACTGGTGATTTTCAAGAAGAGATTGGGCAGCCATTTGTCTGGAATGGTATAGGGCAAGGGTAGGCCACCTTGGCTCTTTTATGACTCATGGACTTCAACTCCCAGAATTCCTGAGCCAGCCATGCTGAGGGGAAAGTTAGAGGTTTCCAAGCTGAGCCATGCTGGCTCAGGAATTCTGGGAGTTGAAGTCCACCAGTCATAAAAGAGTTGCCTACCCCTGGTATGGGTCTCGTGCCTGAGCAGAGGGTTGGACTAGATGACCTCCAAGGTCCCTTCCCACTCTGTTATTCTGATTCTTGTGTCCCCTGCAGGTCGGAGGAGTCGTTCAAACAGTATTTCAGTGAGATGCCCTGGTTATCGATCCCCTACGCTGATGAAGGGCGGCGGTCGCGTCTCAACCGGCTGTACGGCATTCAAGGTAATCGAAAGTAGAGAGAGAGAGAGGGAGAGAGAGAAAGAGAGGGAGAGAGAGAGAGAGAGAGAGAGGAGAGAACGAGAGAACAGTAGAACAGTCAGCCTTAGAACAATTCTTCAAAGGCACTAAGACAGGTGTCTTCAAACCTGGCCCTTTTATGACTTGTAGACTTCAACTCCCAGAATTCCTAAGCCAGCATGGGGGAACCATGGCCCTTTCATGACTTGCAGACTTCAATTCCCAGAATTCCTCAGCCAGCATGGGAGATCTATGGCCCCTTCATGACTCGTGGACTTCAACTCCCAGAATTCCTCAGCCAGCATGGGGGAACCATGACCCCTTCATGACTCGTGGACTTCAACTCCCAGAATTCCTCAGCCAGCATGGGGGAACTATGGCCCCCTTGATGATTTGTGGACTTCAACTCCCAGAATTCCTCAGCCAGCATGGGGGAACTATGGGCCCTTCATGACTTACAGACTTCAACTCCCAGAATTCCTCAGCCAGCATGCCTGGCTGAGGAATTCTGGGAATTGAAGTCCACAAGTCATAAAAAGGCCAAGTTTGAAGACCCCTGCACTGAGACATCACTTGGAGAACATGGCGGCTGGATGCTTGCCAGGCCTCCAGAGAGCTTGAAAAGGTCAAAGTGTGTTATTTGCACAACAGCCCTGTGGTGTACAGGTGGCTCCTCGGCATACGAGCACAATTGAACCCAACATTTCTGTCGCTAAGTGAAACATTGGTTAAGTGAGCCTTTGCCCCATTTTACGACCTTTCTTCCTTCCGTTGCTGAGTGAGTCACTGCCGTTGTTAACTTGGGCACACGGTTGTTAAGTGAATCTGACTTCCCCCTTGGCTTTGCTTGTCAGAAGGTCGCAAAAGGGGGTCACACGACCCCGGAACACCGCGATGGTCGTAAATACGAGTCGGCTGCCAAGCGTCTGAATTTTGATCGTGTAAATGTGGGGACGGTGCACCGGTTGTAAGCCTGAAAAACGGTCCTTTTTTCAGTGCCGTTGTATCTTTGAACGGTCACTAAATGAACTGTTGTAAATCGAGGATTACCTGTAGGGCAGCGGTTCTCAACCTATGGGTCGCGACCCCATTTGGGGTCGATCGACCTCTTTTGTGGGGTCGCCAAACGCGGCGATCCGCCATTTTGTTCCCTCCGGGGGTGGCGCCGCGCATGCGCGCTGCGCGAGGGGGCCCCCGCCCCCATGCGCGCCGCGCGTGGGGGGGCGGCGCCGCGCATGCGCGCTGCGCGAGGGGGCCCCGCCCCATGCGCGGCCGCACCGCGCATGCGCATAACGTTTGTGTGACGGGGGTCGCCGTCACACAAACGTTGAGAACCGCTGCTGTAGGGGATCATCTGGCTCGGGATGCTTTGATCCTTCCCGGCAAAGGAGCATCTTCTGAGAAAAAAACATGCCGTATTTTAGCTCAACTCTGAATCGGGGTGCTGGTTTTCCTGGGAATCCAGAGTTCTCTTAAGTCAGGGCTTTTCAACCAGTGGTACGGGTACCACCTGTGGTCCATTGGCACCTGGCAGGTGGTAAGCGACCCTCCTAGAAAAGTGGTAGCAGGGGAGGGGAATGAGCTGAACCGGTGGCAGCACCGCACAAGCCTGAGCAAGAGGCGGCTGGAGCTGCAGGGCTGTCAGGGCTCAGCAGAAGCGCCAGGATCAGCGCCAGGCTCCAGCTGATTGGTGCTTCTTCGGGGCTGTCAGGGCTCAGCGGAAGCGCCAGGATCAGCGCCAGGCTTCAGCTGGAGCTCAGCGCTGATCCTGGCACTTCTGCTGAGCCCAGAAGAAGCGCCGATCATCTGGAATGTTGCAGCCTCTCCAGGGTCTTGTGATTTACATTCAGATGCTTGGCAACTGATTCATATTTATGACGGTCACAGTGTCCCAGGGTCATGTGAAGAGACCAAAACCTGCTGCAACCACCCAGCAGACCGGGGGGAATAAAAACCAAACACCTCCCCCACCCCACCCCTGCTGCCAATCCTCAACAGAAATGCTCACAACAATGAAAACCTCGGACACGAGGAAGAGCGCGGTCGGGCGGGCAGGCAGGGGTCTTGCTCGGCTGTGGCTTGGGGGGCACTTTTTTCAGTGCCACTGTAACTTCAAACAGTCACTAAGCGAACTGTTGTAAGTCGAGGACTACCTGTACTTCATCACTTTTTTCCTTTTTTGGGGGGGGGGTCATCTTGTTTTTGACCCCTTGCTAGGCGACTGGTGGTCCTTGGATGTTGCCGTATCCTAAAAGTGGCACAAGGGGTGAAAATTTGAAAAGCCCTGTCTTAAGGGAGCCAACAATCGCCTTTGCCTTTTCGGTAGCGGCATCACACAAGGGGCCCCGGAGCAGCCTGTGGCGGTTGCCGTTGTTTTGGTGCGCGTGCTGGAGAGAGAAGACGGGAAGGGTACGGGGGGCCAAGAGTGCAGCCGGCCCCACTTGCGGGGGGGGATCCGATTCCAGAGCAGCTGAAGAACAGGTGGCTGTCCGGACAGGCCGTCTCCTCACCTGGATCGGATTTCTCCAGCAATTTCTGGGTTTGAGAAGAGACGGCAAAGGGTCCCCGGAGCCATGAAGGCTAAAGGAGAAAGACTTTGGCTTCTGTCTTTTCCCAACTGGAGATAACGTCTGCAACCCACCTGCCTTTCGCAGGTTTTCTCCCTCCCTCCCTCCCTCCCTCCTTCTTTCTTTTCTCCCTCCCTCCCTCCTCTCTCCTTCCTTCTTTCTCTCTTTTCCCTTCTCTCCATATCTCCCTTCTTTCTCTCTCCTTCCTCCCTCTCTCCTTCCCTCCTCCCCTTCCCTCCTCCCTTCTTTCTCTCCACCCTTCCTTCCTTCCTCCCTCCACCCTCTCTTCCTCCTTTCCTTCCTTGTTTCCTTCCTTCCTCCCTCCCTCCCTTCCTCCCTCTCTTCTTTCTCTCTCCTTCCTCCCTTCTTTGCTTCTCTCTTTCCTCCCTCCCTTTCTCTCTCCTCCCTCCCTTCCTTCTTCCTTCCTTCCTCCCTCCCTCCTCCCCTTCCTTCCTCCCTTCTTTCTCTCCACCCTTCCTTCCTCCCTCCCTCCTTTGCTTCCTTGCTTCCTCCTTTTCTCCTTTCTTTCTCTCTCTCTCCTTCCTTCCTTCCTTCCTTCCTCCCTTCTCTCTCGCCTTCCTCCCTTGCTTCCTCCTTTTCTCTTTCTTTCTCTCTCCTCCCTTCCTCTCTCCCTTCTCTCTCGCCTTCCTTCCTCCCTCCCTCCCTTCCTCCCTCTCCTTTCTCTCTCCACCCTCCTTCCTCTCTTCCTTTCTTCCTCCCTCCCTCCCTCCCTTGCTTCCTCCTTTTCTCTCTTCTTTCTTTCTCTCTCCTTCCTTCCCCCCTTCTCTCTCACCTTCCTTTCTTCCTCCCTCCCTTCCTTGCTTGCTTCCTCCTTTTCTCTCTTCTTTCTTTCTCTCTCTCTCCTCCCTCCCTCCCTCTCTCTCCTTTCTCTCTCCACCCTTCCTCCCTCCTCTCTTCCTTCCTCCCTCCCTCCCTTCCTTGCTTCCTCCTTTTCTCTCTTCTTTCTTTCTTTCTTTCTCTCCTTCCTTCCTTCTTTCTGTCCTTCCTCCCTCTCTCCCATCTTTCTCTCTCCACCCTTCTTCCTTCCTCTTTTCATCCCTCCCTCCCTCCTTCCTGTCTTTCCTTGCTTGCTTTCTTCCTCCCTCTCTCCCTTCTTTCTCTCTCCACCCTCCCTCCCTCTCTCCTGTATCCTTCTCGCTGAGAATCGGACATGCAATCTGATTTATCCCAAAGCTGCTTTCTCAAGAGGCAACTGGACTTGTTTTTCTTTGAAGACGTTTCGCTTCTCCTCCAAGAAGCTTCTTCCGCTCTGACCGGATGGCGGGGAATGGTGTTCAAGAGTGAAGGGACACAGGGCAGAAAACATCCTGCAGAAAGCACAGCTCCACAACACACACAGTCGTTTCAGCAGGTCCAAGAAGGCTCCACACCCATTTGCACCACTCGGGTGACCCTGAGGACACAGGTAAACCTCCAAGTGGCCTCAAGGACTCCATAAAAGAAGGCAAATGACCAGCTGTCTGCAAGGAGTATAAATCCTTCCATTCCCCACCATCCGGTCAGAGCGGAAGAAGCTTCTGGGATGAGAAGCAAAACGTCTTCAAAGAAAAAAAACAAAAAAGTCCAGTTGCCTCCTGAAAAAACACCTTTGGGACAACCTGGATGAAGGAGAATCTCCATGGACCTGATTCCAGTCAGTCTGAATGGCTGCAATGGACAGAGATTCCCCCCCCCCCCGGCCTATATTGTGCGCCCATTGCACTAGGACAGGGGAGGCAATCTTGGCTCTCTTCATGACTGGTGGACTTCAACTCCCAGAATTCCTGAGCCAGTCTGGCTCAGCTTGGAAACCTCTCCCTTTCCCCTCAGCATGGCTGGCTCAGGAATTCTGGGAGTTGAGGTCCACGAGTCATAAAGCGGCCTAGGCCTAGGCCAGAGATAGGTAACCTTGGCTCTTTTATGACTCGTGGACTTCAACTCCCAGAATTCCTGAGCCAGCATGGCTCAGCTTGGAAACCTCTCCCTTTCCCCTCAGCATGGCTGGCTCAGGAATTCTGGGAGTTGAAGTCCACGAGTCATAAAAGGGCCAAGGTTGCCTACCTCTGGCCTAGGCCTAGGCTGCTTTATGACTCATGGACTTCAACTCCCAGAATTCCTGAGCCAGCATGGCTCAGCTTGGAAACCTCTCCCTTTCCCCTCAGCATGGCTGGCTCAGGAATTCTGGGAGTTGAAGTCCACGAGTCATAAAGCAGCCCAGGCCTGGGCCAGAGATAGGTAACCTTGGCTCTTTTATGACTGGTGGATTTCAACTCCCAGAATTCCTGAGCTGGCATGGCTCAGCTTGGAAACAGCATGGCTGGCCCTTTCCCCTCAGCTCATGGCTGAGCTCAGGAAATCAGCATGGCTGGCTCAGGAATTCTGGGAGTTGAAGTCCACCAGTCATAAAAGAGCCAAAGTTGCCTACCTCTGGCCTAGGCCTAGGCCGCTTTATGACACGTAGACTTCAACTCCCAGAATTCCTGAGCCAGCATGGCTCAGCTTGGAAACCTCTCCCTTTCCCTTTAGTATGGCTGGCTCAGGAATTCTGGGAGTTGAAGTCCACCAGTCATAAAAGAGCCAAGCTTGGAGACCCCTGATCAAGGGTCTCCTGCTTGAGCGGGGGTGTGTGTGTGTGTGTGTTGGACTAGATACAGGGGTAGGCAACCTTGGCTCTTTTATGACTCGTGGACTTCAACTCCCAGAATTCCTGAGCCAGCCACCCTGAGGGGAAATGGAGAGGTTTCCAAGCTGAGCCATGCTGGCTTAGGAATTCTGGGAGTTGAAGTCCACCAGTCATAAAAGGGCCAAGGTTGCCTACCCCTGCACTAGGAGATACCAGCTTCTAATTGCACAGAGCGGTTCCAGTCCTGAAGTGTACTGGGTGGAGCAAGGCGGAAGAAGCTTAAATTGCCCTCTTCACTCGAGAGGCATGTGTCAGTCTAAAGACACTGTGGAGTCTGAATGTTACATGAGCAGTTTGGGAGCCTGTCCTGGATCTGAACCCGGAGCGCTGGAATGCAGAGGGGGGGGGGCAAAATCAGGGCACGAAACAGCTGAGTTTGAAAAGTGAGATGCTGGCTTGCAATACACCCAGGCTTTGCAAAAATGGTTTTACAGCAGGGGTCTTCAAACTTCAGACTTGTGGACTTCCACTCCCAGAATTCTTCAGCCAGCTTGCTTTAAGATAGGTAGATTTCAAATCCCAGAATCCCCCAGCCAGGATACTTTAAGATGGGTGGACTTCAACTCCCAGAATTCCCTAGCCAGCCTGCTTTACGATGGGCAGACTTCAACTCCCAGAATCCCCCAGCCAGCGTGCTTTACGATGGGCAGACTTCAACTCCCAGCATGCTTTAAGATAGATGGACCAACTCCCAGAATTCCTCAACCAGGATACTTTAAGATGGGCGGACTTCAACTCCCAGAATCCCCCAGCCAGCATGCTTTAAGAGGGGTGGACTTCCACTCCCAGAATTCCCCAGACAGCATGCTTTAAGATGGGTGGATTTCAACTCCCAGAATTCTCCAGTCCTAAGCTTTTTGATGGAGTAATAAAACAAGGAGACAGCTTGGTCTTAGGACTGGTGGGACAGTTACGATCTCTTGAAAGAAAAGGAGTTTTTCGCCTCTAAATGGTCATTATCCCAAGTTTAGAAAATTAATGCAGATTTTTTTTTAAAAAAAAAAACTTTGATCCCATCAGAATTTAGGAACAGAAGTTTATTGATCTCAGCTTAACAAGGGACCCAAATTTGTCAAGATCAGATTTCATTTAACTAATTGTCTTGCTTTTCTGAATCGAACAATGTTCTTAATAGATTGTGGGAATGCTGTAGACATAGTATATCTTGACTTAAGCACAATGTTTGACTAAAAGTACCGGGCAAAATGAAATATAGCACATCCTATGACATGAAGCTGTGAATGCTGCAACACTGGAAGTTTTTAAGAAGAGATTGGACAGCCATTTGTCTGTAATGGTATAGGGTTTCCTGCCTGAGCAGGGGGTTGGACTAGATGACCTCCAAGCTCCCTTCCTACCTCATCATCATCATCATCATCATCATTATTATTATTATGTGGTTACTTCTCTTTCTTCCTTAACCCTCTCCTATCTTGGTTTCTTTCTCATTTTGTCCGATCGCAGGTATCCCTACTCTTATCGTCCTGGACACTAAGGGAGACATGATCACCCGACAAGGCCGAGTCGAGGTCCTGAATGACATTGAATGCAAGGAGTTCCCCTGGCACCCCAAGCCTGTCTTGGAACTGACCGATTCCAACGCTGTCCAGCTGAATGAGGGTCCTTGTCTCGTCCTTTTTGTAGGTATGCAAACCACCCCACCCCGCTCTGAATGCCAACCTCCCTCACCCCCCCCCCCATGAAATTGGATTTTGCTGTCATTTGTTTCTCTTTGCCAACAAACGAGGAGGGAGCAAAAATCAGATGGAAGGGAGTTTGCTGCAAAAGTGCTTAGGTCTGATGAAGTTTCTAGTCCTCATGATTGCAAAGAGATACTTCCTGAGGACAGTTTCTTAGTGGAAGTGTAGTCTTCTGTAAAAGTACTTAACATTTGGTGAAACTTCTAGTCCTCAATGGAAAAAAGGATATTTATGGGGACAATTTCTTAGTGGAAGTGTGGTCTTCTGTAAAAGTACTTAAGTTTGGTGAAGTTTCTAGTCCTCCTTAATGCAAAAAAGATACTAATAGGGACAAGATACTTCTGGAGGCAAAAAGATATTTCTGGGGACTACTTCTTAGTGGAAGTGTAGTCTTCTATAATAATAATAATAGTAGTAAAGTTGGAAGGGATTTTAACCCCTTGCTCAGGCAGGAAAGCCTATACCATTTCGGACAAATGGCTGTCCAGTCTCTTCTTAAAAACTTCCAGTATTGGAGCGTTCATCGCTTCTGGAGGCAGGCTGTTCCACTGGTTAATTGTTCTCACTGTCAGGAAGTTTCTCCTTAGTTCTAGGTTGCTTCTCTCCTTAATTAGTTTCCACCCGTTGCTTCTTGTCCTGATTGCAAAGAGCTACTTGTGGGGACAATTTCCTGGTGGGAATGTAGTTTTCTGTAAAAGTACTTAAGTCTAATGAAGCTTCTAGTCCTGGTGATTGCAAAGAGATACTTGTGGGGACAATTCCATGGTGGAAGTGTAGTCTTCTGTAAAAATACTTAAGTTAGTTTGGTGAAGTTTTTAGTCCTCATTGCAAAAAAGATACTTACGGGGACAATGTGGAAGTGTCATTTTTCTACAAAAGTACTTAAATCTGGTGAAGTTTCAGGTCCTCGTGATTGCAAAGAGATACTTGTGGGGATAATTCACTGGTGGAAGTGTAATTTTCTGGAAAAGTACTTAAGTCTAATGAAGTTTCTAGTCCTTCTGATTGCACAGAGATACTTATGGGGACAATTTCCTGGTGTATGTGCAGTTGTCTGTAAAAGGACTTAAGTCTGGTGAAGGTTCTAGTCCTCATGATTGCAAAATAGATATTTGTGGGGGTGGTTGATGTCAAAACCTGAGGAGGTTGAATTAGATTCCTGCTGTTTAAGAACCTGAGTTATTAAATCTGTACTCTTAACTCCTGAGAGTTCAGAAAACCACAATGTGCCCCCAAAACAGGTTTTATGTGAAGGTCTTGTGGCAGATTATGGAATTTAGAAGACTGTGCTGCAAATTATGGAATCATAATGTGGAACAAATTTGCATATCTGGCTCCACTCCGGATCAACCAAACGTGCCCCAGGCCTGCATGATTTTGTGCTGTGCCCTCTTTTGCTTGCCTCCGGCCCACAGAGATAAAAAAATTTCTTTAACAGTTCCTGTTTTAAAGTAGTGGTTTCCTTCATTCCCAATGTATGTTTTTCCCTCCAGATGCTACTGGTCATCTTCAACGTATGATGATTTGTTTAGCGAGCGTTCGAAATTGCAATGCACTGCAAAAAAAAAAAAAAAACAGATTAAAGCATGCTGGCTGGGGAATTCTGGGAGTGGAAGTCCACCCATTTTAAAACATGCCGGCTGGGGAATTCTGGGAGTGGAAGTCCCCCATCTTAAAGCAGGCTGACTGAGGAATTCTGGGAGCGGAAGTCCCCCCCTCTTAAAGCAGGCTGGCTGGGGAATTCCGGGAATGGAAGTCCCCCCCTCTTAAAGCAGGCTGGCTGGGGAATTCTGGGAGTGGAAGTCCCCCATCTTAAAGCAGGCTGGCTGGGGAATTCTGGAAGTGGAAGTCCACCATTCTTAAAGCAGGCTGGCTGGGGAATTCTGGGAGTGGAAGTCCCCCCCTCTTAAAGCAGGCTGGCTGGGGAATTCTGGGAGTGGAAGTCCCCCCCTCTTAAAGCAGGCTGGCTGGGGAATTCTGGGAGTGGAAGTCCCCCCCCTCTTAAAGCAGGCTGGCTGGGGAATTCTGGGAGTGGAAGTCCCCCATCTTAAAGCAGGCTGGCTGGGGAATTCTGGGAGCGGAGGTCCATCCCTCTTAAAGCAGGCTGGCTGGGGAATTCTTGGAGTGGAAGTCTACCCATCTTAAAACATGCCGGCTGGGGAATTCTGGGAGTGGAAATCCACCATTCTTAAAGCAGGCTGGCTGGGGAATTCTGGGAGTGGAAGTCCACCATTCTTAAAGCAGGCTGGCTGGGGAATTCTGGGAGTGGAAGTCCACCATTCTTAAAGCAGGCTGGCTGGGGAATTCTGGGAGTGGAAGTCTACCATTCTTAAAGCAGGCTGGCTGGGGGATTCTGGGAGTGGAGGTCCACCCATCTCAAAAATTAATGACTTTGAAAAAAAAAAAACAGCCCTGCTACGATAAGAATTCCTGTTTGTGGAAATGCAGGAATCGGCGCTAAGCAGACCTCCATTCCTGCCGACGAATGCTCAGATCCCCCCAGGAGGGAAAATGCAGCCATGTTTTTCTCTCTCTGCCCGCCACAATCCCATATGCTGCATTTGTGGCTGGGCCTGCCATCACAGGAACTCTCTTCGCGCCCCGCTGTGTCTGAATGGGGTATTTGTGAAACCCCTGGGGTGCACAGCCAGCTCCTTTCATCCGTCTTTAAACAGCACATGCGTTTAAGCCCCTCTCATTCTTTTTTTTCCTCTGGTTTTATAAGGGGAAAAACGCAGGGGGTGGCTGGTTAGAAGCACAATTGTGCCGTAATTAATTCTCTTTTTTTGTGTGTGCTTTTAAGCCTTAATCAGCAAGTTCCTTGGATTGCCTCCCCGAAACTAAGCTTGTTTGAGAGGTCAGAACAGACCCGCCGTGCTCAAAGCTTGGAATCGGTTGTGGTTGTTAAAAGAGTGTGTGACTTTTGCACACGTGCTGGTGTGCGGACTCAGGTTGTCTGGTGTGTGATTTGTCTGTCTGGTGTGTGATTTCCTTGGTGTTTTCCTACAGCTGGTTGTGAGAAAGTCGCAAAAGGGGATCACACGACCCTGGGATAGAAATAGGAATAATAGGAATAATAGAAATAAACATAACAGGGAATAGAATAGAGCAGAGCAGAATAGAATAGAATAGAATAGAATCTTTATTTAGACTAGACTAGACTAGACTAGAATAGAATAGAATCTTTATTTAGAATAGAATGGAATGGAATAGAATCTTTATTTAGACTAGAATAGAATAGACTAGACTAGATTAGAATAAAATAGAATAGAATAGAACAGAATCTTTATTAAGAATAGAGTAGAGTAGACGAATAGAATAGACTAGACTAGACTACAATAGAATAGAATCTTTATTAAGAATAGAATGGAATGGAATGGAATGGAATCTTTATTTAGATTATACCAGAATAGAATAGAATTGAATTGAATTGAATCTTTATTAAGAATAGAGTAGACTAGACTGGAATAGAATAGAATAGAATATATGGAATGGAATGGAATAGAATCTTTAGACTAGAATAGACTAGAATAGAATCTTTATTAAGAATGGAATAGACTAGACTAGACTGGAATAGAATAGACTGGAATAGAATAGAATAGAATTGAATTAAGAATAGAGTAGACTAGACTAGACTAGACTGGAATAGACTAGAATAGAATAGAATATTAAGAATAGAATAGAATATTTAGAATGGAATGGAATAGAATCTTTGTTTAGACTAGAATCGAATAGACTAGAATAGAATAGAATGGAATAGAATACTTTATTTAGAGTAGACTAGAACAGAACAGAACAGAATAGAATAATAGAGCTGGAAGGGACCTTGGAGGTCTTCTAGTCCAGCCCCCTGCTCAGGCAGGGACACTTCGACCCGTCGTAAATATGAGCCAGTTGCTAACCTTCTGAATTTTGAACACCTGACCGTGGGGATGGGGCAACGATTGTTAAGTGTGAAAAACGGTGAAAAGGAGGCCCTTTTTTCAGTGCCGTTGTAACTTCCTACGGTCACTAAATGGAACTGTTATAAGTCGAGAGCTGCCTGTGATGTACGCACTGGCTGATCCTCCGAGAGTTGGTGAGACGGAGAGCCACAGGGCGTGGGATGCCATGGGTGTGCATTTATTTACACATGGGTCGAGCACACAGGTTGATTTATATGACATTTGCGACCTAAAGCAGATTCCAAGGTCTTACATATTCGCTCTTCCCAGTTCAGTCTCCCTCCTTCATTTCACAGGCGAGATGGAAAGACTGGAGGGAGCATGAGGGGCCCGAGAAAGATTTGGGGGGGGTCTTGTTTCTTCCCCCCCCCCCATTTTAAGCCCAACCCTTTTGAGCGCCTGCAATTCCAGTCCTTGCTCGATTTTATAATAATAATAATAATAAAGTTGGAAGGGACCTTGGAGGTCTTCTAGTCCAACCCCCTGCTCAGGCAGGAAACCCTATACCCTTTCAGACAAATGGCTGTCCAATCTCTTCTTAAAGACTTCCAGTGTTGGAGCATTCACCGCTTCTGGAGGCAGGTTGTTCCACTGGTTAATTGTTCTCACTGTCAGGAAGTTTCTCCTTGTGTATTATTTAGTAGCAACCCAGTGGGATCCAGATACAGATGTGTTCAGAACACAAATAGAGATTTGCAAAATGGAAGCTATTTGGTCAATGGAGCTGTCAGTTGCTTTGCGGGTTAGAGGGAGGGAGGGAGGGAGGAAGGAAGGAAAGAAGGAGAAGAGGGAGGGATGGAGGGAAAGGCGGAGGGAGGAAGGAAGGAATGAAGGAAGGATGGATGGATGGAAGGAAGGAAGGAGAAGAGGGAGAGAAGGATGGAAGGGAGGGAGGGAGCAAGTGAGAAAGAGAAGGGAAGGAAAAGAAAGGGAAGAGAAAGAGAAAAGAAAATGGGAAGAAAAGAAGGAGCTAAGAGAAAGGAGAAGGAAAAAAGGGAGGGAAGAAGGAAGAATGGAGAAAGGAAGGAAAGGAAAGGAGAAAAGGAAATAGGGAGAAGGAAAGAAAGAAGAAGCTAAGGAAGGCAGGAAGGAGGAGAAGAAGGAAGGAAGGAAAGGAGAGGGAAGGAAGGAAGGGAGAGGGAAGAGGAGGAAGGAAAGGAAAGGAAATGAGGGAGGAAAAAGGAAATGGGAAATGAGAATAGGAAGGAGAGAAAAAGAAGGTGGGCAGGAAGAGGACAAAAGGAAAAGCGTGAAAGAAAGCAAAGGCAGGGGGAAAAAAGAAGGAATACAAGATGGAAAAAGAGAGAGAAGAAAGGGAAGGGAAAGGGGAAAAATGGAGAAAGGCAAAGAGAGAAGAAGGAAGGAGAGAAAGAAGGGAGGTTAGAATGAAGAAAAGAGAGAGGCACAAAAGGAAGGGAAGGAAGAGAGAGAAATGGAAGGAAAGACAAGGAGAGGAAAAGAAGAGAAAGCGAAAGAAGGAAGAAAAGGCAGGAGGCCATCTTGAATTCCAGGTTTAACCTGATTTTCCCCCCCCCCCTCTCCTGGGGGGGTTCTCCTTTTCTCCTCCCCCCCCCAAAAAAACATTCATAACCCACCCACCCCCTCCTCCTTCTCCTCCTCTTTTGCTCTCCTTCAAGCCTTCCGTACAGCCATCCTTGCTGCTTATTTAAGAAGGGAGAAGGATTCGCACACGGAGCACATTTTCCTGGCTTTCAGGGTGGGGTGGATTTCCATGTGACCCAAATTGGGTGGGTTTAATGGGTGGGGGGAGAGACCTGCCTCACCAGTGATGGATAACTCTGGGAAAGAGGATGGCTAGTCTAGCTGTGTGGTGTGGTTGCGTCTCTCCTTTGTGTCTGGCCAAAGGGGCATAAATTCCGGGTATTTAGCAAGACCCTTCGATTTTGCAGCCTTCGGGGTGGAAACGCATCCTTTTATGTGTATTTATTTTATTTTTGCCCTGCTGGCAATGATGGCATCTGATAGGGCAGATGTGAACATCCAGAAGACCCAGATGTGAACCCAGGTCCGTTGCTTTGCCAAAGGGAAATAATAATAAAAATAAAATAAAACCATCCCATAAAGTACACCTAATCAAAAGAAAATAAAGTAAAATAAAATAATCAAGAATAAAAGAGAGAGAAAAAAAGGAAAGGAAAGAAAGGAAACCAAGTAAAACAATGTAAAAACATTAAATTGAATGAAATAAAAACAAAATAAAACCACAAAATAAGATAACATCAAAGGAAAGGAAGGTAAAATAAAATAATCAAGCAAATAAAACAAAATAACAAAAAGAATCGACTAGAATAGAAAATAAAATAGGAGCAAAAAATAAAATAAAAATAAAATAATACAATAAAATAAAGTAAAATTAAAATAAAATAAAAAATATAAAATAACAAAATAAAATAAAATATAAAATAAGCTAAAATAAAATAAATAATAAAATAAATAAATAAAATAATAAACTAAAACTAAAATAAAATAGAAAGGTAAAATAAAATTGAAATAAAATATTAAAATAAAATAAAATATTAAAGTAAAATATTAATAAAATGATAAACTAAAATAAATAAAATAATATAAAATAAACTGAAATAAAATACTAAAATAAAATCAAATATTAAAGTAAAATATTAAAATAATAAACTAAAACAAATAAAATAATATAAAATAAAATAAACTGAAATAAAATATTAAAATAATATAAAATAATATAAAATAAAATAACAAAATAAACTGAAATAAAATTATGAAATAAAATAAACTAATAAAATAAACTAATAAAATAAACTAAAATAATAAAATAAAATAATAAATAAACTAAAATAAAATAATAAAATAAAAAATATAATATAATAAAATAAAATAAATAAATATAATCCTGCTATGCCCTCTTGGCCTTGCATTAGGCCAAAGCTCCCTATTTGTGTTCAGGTGAAGAATCCTAGCAACAAAGCCCCCCCCATCTCCCCGCTTTTGCACCCCTCCCCACATCCTCGATTGCAAATGAGCCTTTTTGAGGCGGGGTGGGGGGGGCCTTCATCCCTCCTGCCTGTCTGTTCCTCTGCAGAACAGTTGCATTGGGGGGGTGGGGGGCTTTGTTAATCGGTTTCACCCCGTTGATATTTGCCCCCTCTTGGTGGGAGACCCAGCAGAGGTCAGCCAACCCCCCCCCCCAGAGCTGGAGCTGAGCCAAGGGGTTTTGGGGGGGCGTCTCTAGGCGTGGGAGGGGGACTGGATTAATCCTATTAATAATGTCTCCTTGCTGAACACAAACACAGAAAGATGTTGGGAGGAATTTGAAGTTTTGTCCTCTGCAGATTCTCTTCTGGGTTTAATTAACACTGGGCCAGATTGCCCCTTTTGGGGAGGTGGGTGCAGGCGGAGTCATCTCACTCCCCCCCTCACCACAACCCCCCCATACGCCCAAAATTCACGACTCCCACCCCCAAGAGCAAAGCTGCTGAGATTTTGCTGGCCATTTTAAGGCTGGTGGACTTCAACTCCCAGAATTCCCCAGCCAGCATGGCTGGCTGGGGAATTCTGGGAGTTGAAGTCCACCAGTCTTAAAAGTGGCCAAGTTTGAGGACCCCTGAATTTAATGACTGTTCAAAGTTACAAAAGCATTCACACCTCTATCTCTCCCTCCCTCTCTCTTTCCCTTCCCTACCCCGTCTCTCTCTCCCTCCTTCCTTCTCTCTCTCTCTCTCTTTCCCTTCCCTACCCCCCCCCTCCTTTTTCTGTCTAAACCCCCTTTGGGAATGTGATCATCATTCCTTTTTCGGTGTGCCTGTGTTTCAGATTCCGACGATGATGGAGAATCCGAAGCAGCCAAGCAGCTGATCCAGCCCATCGCGGAAAAGATCATAGCCCAATACAAAGCCAAAGATGAAGAGATCCCGCTGCTGTTTTTCGTGGCTGGAGAGGTATGGAGGAGCAGGAAGGGTCAAATAAGCAGACATTCGTGGTTTACGGGCAGCGGTGCTTCAGGCAGGTTTCTAGACTCATCGGCCTGCCTTAGCCCAGTTTTCACAACCTGGGACCCTTTCCCAGAAGCCTCAGCAACAGCCACACTCCAGGTAGTCCTCGACCTACAAATTGAGCCCCGAAGTTGAGTTGCTAAGTGGGAAATTGGTATAAGTGAGTTTTGCCCCATTTTACGACTTTTCTTGCCACATTTGTTAACTGAATCACTGAAGGTGTTCAATTAATAACCCGGTCGTTAAGTGAATCCAGCTTCCCCTTTGACTTTGCTTGTGAGAAGGTCGCAAAAGGGGATCACGTGACCTCGGGACACTGCGACCGGCGTAAATACGAGTCAGTTGTCAAGCGTCCCAATTTTGAACATCTGACCAGGGGGATACTTCAGCGGTCATAAGTATGAAAAATGGTCATAAGCCACTTTTTTCAGTGCTGTGGTAACTTTGAACGGTCACTAAGCAAACTTTTGTAAGTCGAGGACTGCCTGTGTTTCTTTAGTGACTGTTCAAAGTTACAACGGCACTGAAAAAAGTGACTTAATGACTGTTTTTCCCACTTAACGGTCATTGCAGCATCCCTCATGATCATGTGATCAAAATTCGGGGGCTTGGCAACTGGCTCGTATTTATGACAGTTGCAGCGTCCCGTGACCCACTTTTGCGACCTCCTGACCAGCAAAGTCAATGGGGGAAGCCAGATTCACTTAACAACAGTGTTACTAACTTAACGACTGCAGGGATTCACTTCATAACTGTGACAACTGTCGTAAAATGGGGCGAAACTCAGTTGACAAATTCCTCACTTGAGCAACCTGTTGAGTCTTGCCTTGCGTGAGGGGCCGTGTCTCTCGTTTTCACCCAGTACGGTTCATGCCAACAAAAAAAGACCCCTCCCCATTGTCCTTCCTGTGTGGAGGGGCTGAGCACTTAGCCTAAGACGTCGCTAAGTGAGGAATTGCACTTCCTCAATTGGGAATGGCTTCCCTCCAGAAGTTGTGAGTGCTCCAACACTGGAAGTTTTCAAGAAGAGACCGGACAGCCATTTTGTCTGAAGTGGTATAGGCCTTCCTGCCTGAGCAGGGGGTTGGACTAGATGACCTCCCAGGTCCCTCCCAACGCTGTTATTCTGATGATGGATGTTATCCATTCAGTTGTGCCCGACTCTTAGCGGCCAGGTCTCTTCACATCTCCCGATCTTATACGAGGGGCCGTCCTCCAGTTATGACCAAAACTGAGCACCAAATTCCTCTTAAGTGAGACAGTTGTGAAGTGAGTTTTGCCCCACTTGACGACTTTTCCTGCCCCGGTCATTAAGCGAATCAATGCAGTTGTTAAATTAGTCACCCGGTTGTTAAGTGAATCCGGCTTCCCCCATTGACTTTGCTTGTCAGAAGGTCGCAAAAGGAGATCGCGCGACCCCCTTGGGACACGACGACCGTCATAAATACGAATCAGTTGCAAAGCGTCCAGGTTTTGATCCCCTGACCCTGAAGATGCTGCAACGGTTGTAAGTCTGAAGTGTGGTCGTCGTAACTTCGAACGGTCACTAAATGGACCGTTGTAAGTCGAGGACTATCTTAGAGTGGGTTAACCTCCATTTGGTGGCCAGGCTGTCCCCTGTTCTGTTGTTCTGTTGCTTCCACCTTTATTCAAGCAATGGCACCTTAGCCCATCAGCCCTTCCCAGCCTCCCTGGGACCACCAGCCCCATCTCCCACCCTTCTGTCCTTCTACCCCCCCCCCCCAAATGGTCAGGAGACACCCCACCCACCGCCAGCTTTGCATGCCTGCTCTGGTGATCGCTGAATGTGCCCGTTGTTGTCCCAATGAATCCTAAAACAAAAGACTCCTCTGCACCCCTTCCACCCCTCCTCGCAGCCCCCTCCCCACGCCCCCCTCCCTCGCCCAACCCACCCCGTGGCTGGCCGGCCCCTACAACACAACCTTTCATTCATTCGCCAGTGCCATCTGCTTGCCGGCGTGAATGACCCATTCATCAAACTTCGGGCCAGCCCTTCGAGGAGAAGGGGGTTGCGGCAGGGTGGGTGGGGGGGTCACGAGGAAGAGGCCATCCTATGGACAGATGGGGGGCTGTCTCTTCTGTCTCCCCCCCCCTTGGAAAGGTTAGTCCTTGCAGCAAGGGTCTCGACGTGATGAAATAACGGCAGCCGGAAAAAAAAAACAATAAGAAGCAGGAAAACACCTGTTTGCTAGGAAGCAAAAGAGAACATGGATTTCCCCCTCTGCAGAAAACACAAACACACACACACACACACACACACACACACACACACACAAACGTCTTGGAAACTGACAGAATGACCCTACTAGAGTGTGGGGGTAAAGAAATCCCTTTGGGTGGGGGGAAATTTCCATCAAATTCCAGGGTTTTTGTTGTTGTTTTTTCTTCCCAGCCTAGTGAGGGAAATTGCGCTGCTGATTTCTGGAATTTTTTTTTTTAACCCGTAAGATGCCGTTCAGCCCCCTGGTGCAACGTTTGGGGTCTCCAGGCTGGGGTCTTGGGTGCATTGCAGAGGGGGGGGGGAAGGAAACAACAGCGTGCCAATTTCAGACAAGCGCACACACCCCTCCGACAATAGCCCCGCCTTCTGGTGGTCTTCAGCATTCAGGAGTTGCACCCGCCATTTTGCGGAGGGCAGGAAAGCAGGCCAAGATGGACGCAGGCAAGCGGGCGGGCGGACCACAAGCAAGGCCAGGACGAACCACACAAAAGCCGGGAGAGAGAATAAATTCAGCTATAAATTCTAGCGAGCCTTTTTTTGCAGTTGGGGGTCTCCGGGAAAAAGCCGCAGAAGAAAGCCGATGCAGAATATCAAGCTGGTGCCAGGGCGAGGTTTATTTTTGCTGACTTAAAATTATTCTATCTACGGCAGTGGTTCTCAACCTGTGGGTCGGGACCCCATTTGGGGTCGAACGACCATTTCACGGGGGTCGCCAAACAACGCAGTCCGCCATTTTTTCCCCCTTTTCCTTAGCTGTGCTACTCCCTTTTATTCTATTGGCTTTTGAAAGCCAATAGAATAGACTCTCTTGAATAGAGTCTAATTCTATTGGCTTTCAAAAGCCAATAGGAATTGTCCAGGCTGTCTCTGCCCTGCTGAGCCCGCCAAAAGTCCCATTCTGCAAACGGTGCTGCACCAGTGGAGTAGTCCTCGACTTACAACCGGTTGAGTAGTCCTCGACTTACGACCAGTTGGGGGTCGCGGCATTAAAAAGGTTGAGAACCACTGAACTAGGGCTAGGCCAGGGCTGTAGGCAACCTTGGCTCTTTTATGACTCGTGGACTTCAACTCCCAGAATTCCTGAGCCAGCCGTGCTGAGGGGAAAGGGAGAGGTTTCCAAGCTGAGCCATGCCGGCTCAGGAATTCTGGGAGTTGAAGTCCACGAGTCATGAAGGGGCCACAGTTCCCCCGTGCTGGCTCAGGAATTCTGGGAGTTGAAGCCCACAAGTCATGAAGGGGTCATAGTTCTACCACACTGGCTGAGGAATTCTGTGAATTGAAGCCCACGAGTCATGAAGGGGCCATAGTTCCCGCATGCTGGCTCAGAAATTCTGGGAGTTGAAGTCCACAAATCATAAAAGAGCCAAGGTTGCCTACCCCTGGGCTAGGCTGTCATTTTTCTCCCAAGAAAAGCTGATGGCGGCGTGCGATGCCACCAAAAATCAAATTATTGAAGGCCACTGATGCTATTAAAAGGGAATAGAGGGAAGCGGCAGCAGGTCCAAATTATTTAAAGGTTTTTGCTGGCGTCCAAAGTTAGAAGAAGTTCAAGACCAAAGAAATGCATCTGAAGGGTTTTTCCTAAATATGGGCACGGATAGGGTGTATACTTGGGATAGTAAAGGGTGTTCTGGGGAGGGGGGGAGGGAAGAACGGGCCCCCTCCTTGGTGGATGCCGACTTGCTAAGGAGAGAATGTTGTGACCAGCCTTAGAGAATAAAGGAAAGGATTAAGGTAGACATACCTCACAAGGCTGTTGTATAATGTGGGAAGGGGACTGCAGAGCATACATAGCATATTCCGGATCAATGTTTCTCAGATTTGGCCACTTTAAGATTTCTTAACTTCCACTCCCAGAATTCCCCAGCCAGTCATGCTTTAAGAAGGTGGACTTCAACTCCCAGAAGCCCCAGCAAAAATGCTTTAAGAGGGGTGGATTTCAATTCCCAGAATTCCCCAGCAAAAATGCTTTAAGAGGGATGGATTTCCACTCCCAGAATTCCCCAGCCAGCCTGCTTTAAGATAAGTGGACTTCCACTCCCAGAATTCCCCAGCCTGGATGCTTTAAGAAGGATGGACTTCAACTCCCAGAATCCCCCAGTAAAAATGCTTTAAGAGGGGTGGACTTCCATTCCCAGAATTCCCCAGCCAGGATGCTTTAAGAAGGGTGGACTTCAACTTCCAGGATCCCCCAGCAAAAATGCTTTAAGATGGGTGCACTTCCATTCCCAGAATTCCCCAGCCAGGATGCTTTAAGAAGGGTGGACTTCAACTCCCAGGATCCCCCAGCAAAAATGCTTTAAGATGGGTGCACTTCCACTCCCAGAATTCCCCAGCCAGGATGCTTTAAGATGGTTGAACTTTGACTCCCAGAGTTCCTCATGGAGCATGCTTTAAGATGGATGGACTTCCGCTCCCAGAATTCCCCAGCCAGCTTTAAGCATGCTGGCTGGGGAATTCTGAACGTCCACCTATCTTAAAGCTGCTAAGCTGGACAAACTCTGCTCTAAAGATAATTATGCAATTATGCATCCATCGTACAGCTAAGTCTACCTCTGAAATTTGCATTTTCCTGGATAAAATTGAGGGGGGTGCTGTTAAAGAAGGGAAAATTTAGAAGTTAAAAAAAAAAACAAAAAAGGACAAGGTTTAATTGTACGCCCCCAAAACGTACGAAATATTGCTTCCTCAAGTCTTCCAGAAGCAAAGAACAAACGGGAGACCTGGAATAAAACAAGACATTAAGAGACTTGAAAACCCCACCCAAGAAAGATAATAAACCCAAAGAATTTCAGCTTTGGGCACGGAGGGGGAATCCAGTATGGAGAAAATGCTTGCAAAGGAGGAAAATCTAGAGTTAAGGAACCGTAGATGTGGTTAGGGAATCTGCCCCGTGGCTGGAGATGATGCAATTCAAAACCCAGGACTTGGCAGACCGCGAGAAGATTCCAGCTTTATCCCGCGAAAGTTCTTTTTCTCCTACCCAGCTATTTTAAGGTGGACTCCTTCACCCCATCGTCCTCTGCCTGCGTGGACTTTTGGGCTGTCCAAATCCGCATCGAATGCTCGTCCGGCGGGCGTCGTCTGCCCAAATGCAAGGGAGCGTGAACAAATTTAAGCTGGGGGATTGCAAGGATGTAAGCCAGGGATGCTCAAGCGTGGCCACTTTAAGACGGGTGGACTTCAACTCCCAGAATTCCCCAGCCAAGTTTGAGGACCCGATGTAAGCCAAAAACAAAACAAAACCCGCCATCCCATCATATACAGATGAGTTTTATATCCCATTCAATAATCTCCAGATTTTTTTTTCGGTCTGGAGAAGATGGATAGATTATATTCAGAGTAAATATGGGACTAAAAAGTTCCATCTAGTTTATGAGTAAATTTTAGAGTATTATTATTATTAATAGTTTATTATAGTAGAATTTTTATTAGTTTTATTATTATTATTAGTATTAGTACTGTTAACAATTTGGATAGTGTATTGTTTAATAATATTGACTTGTTTATATTATTACGTTTATTTTTAATTTGTTTATACCTATGTTAAAGGGGAGTTAAAGCGCATTATGGACTTGGTTATTTATATAGTTGGTTAATGTTAGTTAGAGTATGATTATTATATTTGTAACCCTGTACTCAGCTCTGGGAAGTGGGGGAGGGAGAGGGGGGGTTAGGGTGGGTGGGTTTTGGGGTGTATACTGTAATTTTTATAAAACTTTTCAATAAAAAATAATAATAATCTCCAGATTTTTTGCAGACTTCTGCAAAAAATAAATAAATAAACCGGCTTTGGGGTAGAAAAATAACAGCCGACGTTACGAGTAGGAATCCTCGACTTACGACCTCAACCAAGAATCTAATTTCTGTCGCTTGAAACGAGACATTTTCGAAGCGAGTTTGTCTCCACTTGGTGACATTCCTTGCCCCAAGTTGTTAAGTGAATCAACGGCGGTTGTTAAGTTAGTAACTCGGTCGTTAAGTGAAGCTGGCTTCCCCCCCCCCCGTTGACTTTGCTGGTCAGAAGGTCGCAGAAGGGGATCCCGTGAGCCCCGGGACACACTGCGACCGTCGTAAATGTGAGTCAGTTGCCCACGACCTTTCTCGCCACGGTTGTTAACTGAATCGCTGCCGTTGTTAAGTGAATCACTGCCTTTTGTTAAATTAGTAGCTCGGTCGTTAAGTGAAGCTGGCTTCCCCCATTGACTTTGCTTGTCAGAAGGTTGCAAAAGGGGAGCCCCGGGATGCAGTGCGACCGTCATAAATGTGAGTCAGTTGCCAACGTCCTTTCTTGTCACCGTTAATAGTAATAGTAAAAATAATAATAATAATAATAAAGTTAGAAGGGACCTTGGAGGTCATCTAGTCTGACCCCTGCTCAGGCAGGAAACCCTATATATGCCATTTCAATCAATCAGAATAGAGCTGGAAGGAACCATGGAGATCTTGTAGTCCAGCCCCCTGCTCAACCAGGAGACCCCCTATAGACCATTTCAATCCATCAGAATCAAGGTGGAAGGGGCCCTGGAGGTCATCTAGTCCTACCCCGTGCTTCCAGCAGGACAACCTATACCCTTTCAATCTGAATAGAGCTGAAAGGGACTTTGGAGGTCTTCTAGTCCAGCCCCCTGCTCAAACAGGAGCAACCTATACCGTCTCAGACTGGTGATATCATGGCTTGTAAGGATATAAACCAACTTTCTCTTTTTTTGTGTGTTTTTCCTTGTCTGTCTCTTCCCCCCCCCCCTATATCCAGGATGACATGACCGACTCTCTTCGGGATTACACCAACCTGCCCGAAGCCGCCCCCCTCCTCACCATCTTGGACATGTCTGCCCGGGCCAAATACGTCATGGATGTGGAAGAGATCACGCCACCGATTGTGGAAACTTTTGTGAATGACTTTCTGGCCGATAAACTGAAACCTGAGCCTATCTAAAGCCAGAGCTGAGGCAGGGACTGGGGGGTGGGGGGGGTGTTCCTTCGTCACCCCTTCCCCACCCGTTAGGCCAGGGGTCTCCACCCTGGGCCACTTCAAGACTTTGTGGACTTCAACTCCCAGAATTCCTCAGCCAGCCACGCTGAGGAGAAATGGAGAGGTTTCCATGCTGAGCCGTGCTGGCTGAGGAATTGTGGGAGTTGAAGTCCACGAGTCATAAAGTTGCCAAGTTTGAAGATCCCTGTCTTAGACGCTATTTAAAAGTGGCCGGGTCGATCTACCACCACCATCCCTTCAAGGTGGGCCGACCGTCATTTCCTTGTGGTGCCTTGTTTTAACGCAGAATGATGTCTCTTGTCTAAACGCTTTCCAGGTGGCTCTTTGCAAGCAAGGGGGTGTGTGGGTGGGTGGTCTCCCGGGAGGGGAAGATTTGGCTTTGGGAGGGAGAAGGGAGACGGGGTACCCTGAGGCCATCCAGACGGGGCAGGAAGGAGATGCTTAAACTTCTCGTGGCCAGTGGTTTTCATAGCTGGGATGGATTCAGAAATGACGTTCCGGAGCCCCGAGCGAATTCAGCATTGTAGCCCCTTCCTCTCCGCAGCCCCCTTGCCCACTTTTAGCGAGGAAACGAATCCCTTTAATTTCTTCCACCAAGCGCAGAAAGGTTGAAGCGGTGGGGGAAGCGAGTCCACCCATCGAAATGATGGTTTAAAGATGGCTAAAGCCAAGGATATTACAGCAAACTAAGCCGAGGAAGGAGACGTTGTTATCACTATATCCGTACTGAGGTGTTTCTCAATGGGAGCGGCTTGAAGGCCATTATCCATCTTCAAAAATAGTGGCTGGGGAATTCTGGGAGTTGAAGTCCACACCTCTTAAAGCTGGCTGGCTGGGGAATTCTGGGAGCGGAAGTCCACCCATCTTAAAGCATGCTCCATGGGGAATTCTGGGAGTCAAAGTCCACCCATCTTAAAGCATCTTGGCTGGGGAATTCTGGGAGTGGAAGTCCACCCCTCTTAAAGCAGGTTGGCTGGGGAATTCTGGGAGTGGAAGTCCACCCCTCTTAAAGCAGGCTGGCTGGGGAATTCTGGGAATGGAAGTCCACCCATCTTAAAACATGCTGGCTGGGGGATTCTGGGAGTTGAAGTCCACTCATCTTAAAGAATACTGGCTGGGGAATTCTGGGGGTTGAAGTTCACCCATCTTAAAGCATGCTTGGTGTGGAATTCTGGGAGTTGCAGTCTCCCAATCTTCAAATTGCTAAGGTTGAGAAACACTGCAGTTTATTGCAAAATGTAGTCTTCTCTGTTTCCTTGGGAGGGGGGCAGGAAAAGTATTTTAAGGGTCCTCATTCAGTCAGTCAATGGATTGGGTTCCCCCAAAACGCTGAATCCTGCTTCGCTCAATCCGGTCTCCGAATTTTGCTCGAGTTACAGAATCCAAAACTGACCCCAGAGCCTGGATTCACACATGCTACAGGCAGCCACTTGGCTGATGGTGCTGTGTTTCTTGTGAATGCATCTTGGGAGACAGAGGGGAGAGCCAGAATCCTTTTAGCAAAAAGGGGGGAACCTGTTAAACGGGGAGGGCTTGGTCTTGTGGACCCTTTAGCTACGAGAGGTGACTCAGAAAGGACTGGGCACTGGGCGTCCACCATGCCAGAATGTCCCAAGAGAAACGATGCAGATTGTGTCGTTTGCACAAAGATGTCGTTGTGTCTTGCACCAAATCCCCCCCCTGGGGGGGGAGATTGTAAGAAGAGCTGTGGGGGAATTCCTGGAAGATGGCCGACCTGACTTTGCAGGGGGCTTTGCCAATTTCAATCGTGCCCTAGTATCCAAACTACGCCAAAAGGTTTCTAACAACGATAAAATTTCATCACTCCAGTGACTTTCCTGAACTTGGGCCTTCCTTTCTGCCCCCCCCCAACTCATGGGGGGAAAGCCCCAGAGTTATTTCTGAATGTTGCAGTCTTAACTACCCTAAGCCATTAACTGTAATAACTATAGCAATGAATTAAAACCGCTCTCTTTTTTTAAGCCAAAAGGTGCTATGGAATACCTGTGAACATTCCAACTGCTAAGGATTCTGGGGACTGTAGTCCCAACGCAGACAGTGCCAAGCAGGGGGAAACGCCACCCAAAAATAACATCCAGGATGGTTCTAGATATCTCTCTCATCTCTCTCTCCTCTCATCTCCTCTGTCTCTCCTCTCTCATCTGCGCTCTCTCTCTCTTCTCATCTCCTCTGACCTCTCATTTGCGCTCTCTCTCCTCATCTCTCCCCTCTCATCTGCGCTCTCTCTCTCCTCTCATCTCCTCTGTCTCTCTCTCTCTCATCTGCGCTCTCTCTCTTCTCCTCCTCTGTCTCTCCTCTCATCTGCGCTCTCTCTCTCTCATCTCCTCTGTCTCTCTCTCTCTCATCTGTGCTCTCTCTCCTCTCATCTCCTCTGTCTCTCCTCTCATCTGCGCTCTCTCTCTTCTCCTCCTCTGTCTCTCCTCTCATCTGCGCTCTCTCTCTCTCCTCTCTCATCTGCGCTCTCTCTCTCTCATCTCATCTGCCTCTCTCATCTGCACTCTCTCTCTCCTCTCATCTCCTCTGTCTCCTCTCTCATCTGCGCTCTCTCTCTTCTCTTCTCCTCTGTCTCTCCTCTCTCATCTGCGCTCTCTCCTCTCATCTGCGCGCTCTCTCTCATCTCCTCTGCCTCTCTCATCTGCACTCTCTCCTCTCATCTCCTCTGTCTCTCCTCTCTCATCTGCGCTCTCTCTCTTCTCTTCTCCTCTGTCTCTCCTCATCTGCGCTCTCATCTCCTCTGTCTCTCTCTCTCTCATCTGTGCTCTCTCTCCTCTCATCTCCTCTGTCTCTCCTCTCTCATCTGCGCTCTCTCCTCTCTCCTCTGCCTCTCTCGTCTGCGCTCTCTCTCTCCTCTCATCTCCTCTGTCTCTCCTCTCTCATCTGCGCTCTCTCTTCTCCTCCTCTGTCTCTCCTCTCATTTGCGCTCTCTCTCTCTCCTCTCATCTCCTCTGTCTCTCTCTCATCTGCGCTCTCTCTCCTCTGTCTCTCCTCTCTCATATGTGCTCTCTCTCCTCTCTCATCTGCGCGCTCTCTCTCTCCCTCCCTCCTTCCCTCCCTTTCTTTCAATTCAAATGCCTCCTTTTTTTGCCTCTGTTCCCCATCTTGGTAGACAAGTTGTTATTGTAGATAAAATTCTATCACAGATTCTGCTGCTTTTCGATTTGGGGAAATTGGAATTAAACGCATCGCCTTCCCCTCTCCTGGCTAAGTGGAAATTGTAAAAACTGTACATGGTGATTGGATCTTTGTAATAAAAACTGTTCTAATAAACTCATAGTACGCTGTAATTTGCTCCCGAGGTCTGCCTTCGCTGCCTTCTTCATTTTAAAATCCCATTTTCAAGTTCCAAGACTTAGCTTTCCAAAAACAGAATTACAGGTTGTCCTTGAATTACAGAATTGCAGGCGAGCCATTGACCCCAAAATTTCTGTTGCTAAGCAAGACGGGTTGTGGGTGAGTTTTGCCCCATTTTACGACCTTTCTCGCCACGATTGTTAAGCGAATCACTGCATTGTTGAGCTAGGAGCACAGTTAAGTGAATCGGGCTTCCCCTTTGGCTTTCCTCACTTCATCTTTCCTCACTTCATCTTTGCAGACTCGGGCTATTTGCTGATATTCTGCCTTAGTTACGTCCCCACTTTCCACTTTCTATACCTGTCCTTTTTATCTTTCAATTTGTCAGAGAGTTCTTTATGCAGCCATGCTGGTTTCTTTTGAGAGCTGTTATTTTTCTTCTTTGTTGGTATTGTCCTAGACTGGGCTTTTATTGTCTCATTTTTCAAAATTTCCCAAGCTTCTTGAGTTGTTTTCCCCTGGAGGATTCTCACCCATGGGATCCTTCCCAAGCCCTCTCTAAGTTTATTGAAATTAGCTCTCTTGAAGTCCAAGGCTCTAGTTTGACTGTGTTCTATTGCTTGTGCTTCCATAATGTTGAATTCCAATATTGCATGATCACTTCCTCCCCCCCCCCCCCAAGGTTCCTGTGGCTTCAACACCTTCTATCATTTCATCTCTGCTAGTGAGGATTAGATCCAAAATGGCTAATCCCCTAGTTCCCTTCTCTACTTTTTGGGAGACAAAGTTGTCTGCTAGGTTTGTCAGGAATCTGTTTGATCTTCCACTTGGTGCAGAGTTTATCTCCCAGATGATGTCAGGGTAGTTAAAGTCCCCCATTACTATTGTGATGTGCTTCCTACATACCTTAGTTAGCTGACTAGCAAAAAGTTCATCTATTTCCTCTGGTTGGTTGGGTGGCCTGTAGTACACACCTATGGCAATATCATTCCCCCCCTTTTTATATTGACCCAAATGCATTCAGCAAATGCTTTGCTTGTCAGTAGATCACAAAAGGGGGATCCCATGACCCCAGGAGGCTGCAACTGTTATAAATACCAAGTGTCTGAATTTTGATAACGTGACCCTGGGGACACGGAGACAATGGTTAAGTGTGAAAAACTGCCATAAGTCACTTTTCTCAGTGCTGTTGCAACTTTGAACGTAGATGGTCAGTTTAAATGAGCACTGGAGATTCCAAAAGTGCTTTTTTCAAGATGCAACTGGACTTCCTTGTTTTTCCTTGAAGACATTTCGCTTCTCCTCCAAGATGCTTCTTCAGCTCTGACTGGATGGTGGGGAATAGAAGGATTTATATTCCTTGCAGACAGCCGGTCAACTGCAGATGTTTGGCTATGGAAGAGATGGATAGAGATTAGATAGATAGATAGATAGATAGATAGATAGATAGATAGATAGATAGATAGATAGATGAAAGACAGATGGAAGAGATGGATAGAGACATTAGATAAAATAGATCATAGATGGAAGAGATGGATAGAGAGAAATTAGATGATAGATATAGAGGGAGGGAGGGATGACAGATGGATAGAGATTAGATAGATATAGATTAGATATATAGTTATAGATATGGATGGGTAAATAGAAATAAATTAGATATGGATGAATAGATGGTATAGATGATATAGACAGAGAAATATGGATGGATAGATGACAGATGATACAGATAAGAGATAATAAATATAGATATGGATGGATAGATGATAGACAGATACTGCCTCTTTTCTGTTCCCTTCATCTTGTTAGTATGGAAAACTGTAAGGGCCAATAAGAATTGTATTTAGCACTATTAGGAGAGCACAGATTTCCAACTTCCGCAGCTACGTTTCATGTTTCAAATGCCTTCAGACCATCCAAGTGAATAATATAAGAACTTTAGTAAATAAAACTGAAACATTTGTGTAAGTTATTTTCCACATTCTGTACACAAGATTCCTGGACTGTCTGATAGATTAAAACTGTCACATGATACAGATAATATAAATATGGATAGATAGATGATAGATGACAGATATAGAGAGATGATAGATATAGACAGAGATAACATAGAGATGGATGGATAGATGACAGACATAGATATAGACAGAAAGACAGATGCTTGTTTATTTGTTACCCTGTAACCAGCTCTGGGAAGTGAAGGGGGGAGGGAGGGGGTTATTTTAGGGGGGGGGATAATGTTAAAAACTTGTATAAAACTTTTCAATAAAAAAAGAAAGACAGATGATAGACACTGGTAGAAACCCGAGGGTTGTGGGTGGCTGGTCTCATCTAGCACTACATACAGCGAAGACATCGCCACCTGCTGGTAAGGAGTAGCTCTCCACCCTCTTTTCCAAAACCAGCAAAGAAAATTCAAAAAGTGAAGTTTTTGAGAAAAATTATTCTGAATCCAGGAAGGGAAAACAGATATGACACCAACAAAGGAGAGGAAATGGTGTCTGTTGCTCGCTCATCTTGCAAATGGCCACTCAGCCCAGGTGCGGAGAGAAACCAAAGAAAAAGCAGTTCAGAGGATTCAGAGAGACGCTCCACCTTAATTCACTTGGGAGAAACCAGGCTGGGAAATAAAAGCCTTTTGTGGTTTCCCGGCCTCTTGTTTTAAGCCAAGGATGAGTGTTAAAAGATTGCTTGATGAAATCTAGGTTGTCCTTGGGTCTTTGATCTTGACCAGCTGTGTCATCTTCAAAGTTTTCTTTTGTTTTTTTTTCTTAAAACTTTTTTGAGAATTAACATCTGTGTGCAAGGCTTGGAAATTAAAAACCACAACAACACTTAAACGACTGGACGGATGGAAACTCATCAAGGAGAGAAGCAACCTGGAACTAAGGAGAAACTTCCTGACAGTGAGAACAATTAACTAGTGGAATAACCTGCCTCCAGAAATCATGGGCGCTCTATCGCTGGAGGTTTTTAAGAAGAGACCGGACAGCCATTTGTCCGAAATGGTATAGGGTTTCCTACCTGAGAAGGGGGTTGGACTAGAAGACCTCCAAGGTCCCAACTTTATTATTATTATGGATCATCGCACAGTCAGCCAGATGTTCAGACTGGATTTGGCATTTTGTCTACCTCTCGAGTCCTTACCCAGGACCTGGGATAGGCAGATGTGGATGTTTGATGGTATTACAGATATCGTCGCAGGATGGAAGCAGTTCCTAATAAGGCCGCCTTTTGCAATTGACTAATAGCGAATTTGTCAATGCCAATGGTGTTCAAGTGGTGCTCCAGTTGTTTTGGGATTGCACCCAAGGAGCCTATTACTATTGGTACTACCCTTGCTTGCTTTTGCCACAGTCTTTCTATTTCTATTTGTAGGTCTTTGCATTTTGTGATCTTCTCCAGTTCTTTCTCGTCTATTCTGCTGTCTCCAGGCACTGCCACGTCCACTGTCCAGACTTTTTTGTCTTTTTTATCGACATTTGTTAAGTCCGGGGTGTTATGTTGCAGGTGCTTGTCTGTTTGAATTATTATTGTTGTTGTTGTTATCATTATTATTATTATTATTTCACGGATTAAAGGGATGCATAGAAACAAAAGGCTTCCTCTGATAAAATTGCAGTTCCTCCCCCCCAAAAAATTAACAGAGATGTGTAATTTAATCCTTAAATTACAAGCATTAACTTAGCGATGGTTTGAAGTTACAACAACAATGAAAAAAGTGACTTATGAATGGTCCTTGTGCTTACTACCATCGCTGCATCCGTACAGAGAAGCAACCTGGAACTAAGGAGAAACTTCCTGACAGTGAGAACAATTAACCAGTGGAACTCCTTGCCTCCAGAAGCGGTGAATGCTCCATCGCTGTAAGTTTTTAAGAAGAGACTGGACAGCCATTTGTCTGAAATGGTATAGGGTTTCCTGCCTGAGAAGGGGGTTGGACTAGAAGACCTCCAAGGCCCCTTCCAGCTCTATTCTATTTTATTTTCATATTTGGCGGGATTTTCTATGGCGCCACTTCCGGTGTGGTGTTGCTTCAGGATATAATGCTCGCCCACACATCGGTAGACGCATCCAAGAACTTTTGAAGCAGTTCCGTTGGGATGTTTTTGATCACACACACATACACACACACAAACACACACACACACACACACACACACACACACACACACAGCTCAGATTTGGTGCTGAGCAATGACTAAAAAGGAATTTCAAACCTGGTTTAAGATGTTACGACAAGGGCCTCCATTTGAATGGCGGTTATATCGAAAAGTAACGGAACATCGTTTTTCTAAGGCGTATCTGCGAATAATAATAATAATAATAATAAAAGTTGGATGGGACCTTGGAGGTCATCTAGTCCAAACCCCTGCTCAGGCAGGAAACCCTATACCATTTCGGACAAATGGCTGTCCAGTCTCTTCTTAAAAACCTCCAGTGTTGGAGCATTCACCGCTTCTGGAGGCAGGTTGTTCCACTGGTTAATTGTTCTGTCAGGAAGTTTCTCCTTAGTTCTAGGTTGCTTCTCTCCTTGATTAATAATAATAATAATAATAATAATAATAATAATAATAATAATAAAGTTGGATAGGACCTTTGAGGTCATCTAGTCCAACCCCCTGCTCAGGCAGGAAACCCTATATACCATTTCGGACAAATGGCTGTCCAGTTTCTTCTTAAAGACTTCCAGTGTTGAACTTCTGGAGGCAAGGAGTTCCACTGATTAATTGTTAATTGTGTCTGTCATGGATAACCAAACGGGGGTTTATTTCCCGAATTGCCCTCGTAATAATGCACAGCAGTCACGTTTACCAGGGCAAAAATAATAATTATCGTGAGTTAGAACAAAAAGCTTTTCCCCTCTTCCCCAAAGCTTACTGACAAAAAGACCTTCGGAAGCCCTGCGAAGGGAGGGCGGTTTCCAGTACAAGGGAAAATGTTTTTTTAAAAAAATAAATCAAAAGGGATCCTGCCATTCCTGAACAAACACAGCCAAATTTGGGAGTGAAGCAGCGAGCGAGGCTGGCTGAGGTTTTTGGCAAAGGATCAGAGGGAAGAAGTGATGTCATCCTGTAAGTTTTCACAGGGCCGATGGATTCTACCCGGCACAATGTACATTTTTTTTTTCTGTGAGAAAAAAACCCCAGAAGGATCTGGAAGAAAAAAAGCCGGGCTAGTTGGCTTTTGCCAGCTCCGCAGCCTGAACCAACTTCGGTTGCTTTTCCAAACAAAAGCAATGGATGAAAATGAAAAAAAAGAGAAAGGACTGTAGAAAATATGAATTGGTGAGGGAAAAAAAAAATCCTTAGCTGCCAGCTTCTGAAATTTTCTTTAGAGAAAAGAAGGGCCAGGGGCGACATGACAGCAGCGTTCCAGTATCTCAGGGGCTGCCCCAAAGAAGAGGGAGTCAAGCTATTCTCCAAAGCACCTGAAGGCAGGACAAGGAGCAACGGATGGAAACTAATCAAGGAGAGAAGCAACCTAGAACTAAGGAGAAATTTCAAGACGGTGAGGACAATTACAGATAGTCCTCGGCTTAACAATCATTTGTTCAATAATAATAATAGTAATAATAATAATAATAATAATAATAATAATAATAATAATAATAATAATAATAGTAAAGTTGGAAAGGACCTTGGAGGTCATCTAGTCCAACCCCCTGCTCAGGCAGGAAACCCTACACCATTTCGGACAAATGGCTGTCCAGTCTCTTCTTAAAAACTTCCAGTGTTGGAGCATTTACTGCTTCTGGAGGCAGGCTATTCCACTGATTAATTGTTCTCACTGTCAGGAAGTTTCTCCTTAGTTCTAGGTTGCTTCTCTCCTTGATTAGTTTCCACCCGTTGCTTCTTTTCCTGCCTTCAAGTGCTTTGGAAAATAGCTTGACTCCCTCTTCTTTGTGGCAGCCCCTGAGATATTGGAAGACTGCTATCATGTCCCCCCTTGTCCTTCTCTTCGTTAAACTAGACATACCCAATTCTAGCAACCGTTCCTTATATGTTTTAGCCTCCAGTCCCCTAATCATCTTTGGATGGATATAGTTCAATTGATAGAGATAGATAGATAGATAGATAGATAGATAGATAGATAGATAGATATATAGATAGATAGATTGATTGATAGGGATGGATATAGTTCGATTGATAGATAGGCATAGACAGACAGTCAGTCAGACAGACAGACAGAGATGGATGGATGGATGTAGTTCGATTGATAGACATAGACAGACAGAGATGGATGGATGGATGGATGTAGTTCAATTGATAGACACAGACAGGCAGACAGACAGATAAATAGATATGGATGGATGGATGGATGGATGATAGAGATGGATGGAGATAGATAGATAGATAGATAGATAGATAGATATGGATGGATAGATGATATAAATGGATGGATGGATGGATATAGATATAGTTTGATTGATATAGACATAGACAGATGCTACAGATAGATAGATGGATAGATGATGGATGGAGGTAGATAGGTAGGTAGATGGATATGGAGATATAGATGGATAGATAGATAGATGGATGGATGGATGGATGGATGGATGGATGGCTAGCTATGGATGTTTAAGATTCACTTAACAATCTGGTTATTAACAGCTGCAGTGATTCACTTAAAAACCGTGGCAAGAAAACACATAAAATGGGGCAAAATTCCCTTAGCCAATGTCTCTCTTAACAACAGAAACTTTGGACTCCATTGTGGTTGTAAGTTGAGGACTACCTGCAATCAGCTTACCACCAGGAATCGTGGGCACTCCATCACTGGAAGTTTTTAAGAAGAGACTGGACAACCACTTGTCTGGAATGGTAGACAGTCTCCTGGTTGAGCAGGGGGTTGGACTAGATGACCTACAAGTTCCCTTCCCGCTCTGTTATTCTGAAATGAGTACAGTTAACTCATCCAGGAGACTGGATGTATCTGCACCTTTTAACCATGGAGGGAAATCAAGGCAGATGGTGTGTTGTTGCTGAATGTTTATTACATTGTCGGGTGTCACGAGGTGTTGGCTGATGGCCGCAACAAATAGGAAGAATCCATGAGCCGCTTTTTGGACTCACAAATTTTATTGAAAATAAAGTCCTTCCACGAGCTGCAGCAACTTTCATTGAATGCATACTGCCCGTCGTGACTCGTCGCCAAAATTCTGACTCTGGTGACGGTCGTTGAGGACTAGCTGCGTGAGGAAACCTCACCTGAGGCCTTCTTGAATTTGGGAAGAAAAGTGTGCAAATCCTGACCCACAACTGCCCACGCAGGGCCAAGAACCGTCCCATTTAAGATGAAGGGGAAGGGGAGAAACTGATGGGGGGGGAGAGAATTTGTACACTGTGTGTGTGTGTGTGTGTGTGTGTGCGTGCGTGTATCAAAAAGTTAAGTGGGCCATCTTTGATCTTTGCCTGATCAAATCCTCGCACATATAAAGGATTACCGTCTATATCAGTGTTTCTCAACCTTGACAATTTTAAGGCAGGTGGACTTCAACTCCCCGAATTCCACAGCCAGCATTGCTGGCTGTGGAATTCTGGGAGTTGAAGTCCACATGCCTTAAAATTGTCAAGGTTGAGAAACACTGGTCTACATCTTGACTTTTTTTTGCCTCTTCCCCGACGCAAGAAGCCGCAAAGCAGCAGACGCCGAAGTGGAGATCAGCCAGAGATCATGTAGCCTTTCTTTTCTTCCCAAATTAAAAAAAAAAAAAAAAAAAAGATTCAAGACGCTAGTCCTCATCGTTTGAACTCCAGCCTGGAAGCCCCGCCTTCCGGGACCAGCAGCTGTCTCTTGGCCTCGAAGAGAAGGACGCCGGCAGCCATGGCGGAATTTAAACTCTCCACGCCGGGGACCACCGGGATGGCCAGCTGCTTCCCGCCGCTCCTCTGCGCCAGCCGTTTGGCTTCGGGGCTCACCCCGTGGGTCTCGCCGCCAACCACGATGGCGACGGAGGCATCCATCATCCACGGCTTGTAATAAGGCTGGACTTGCAGCGATTGTCGTTCCTCCTCCTCCTCCTCCTCCTCTTCCTCCTCTTCCTCCTTCTGGCTCCCCTTTGACGGGGTCAGCTGGGACTTCCGGGTGGAGCCCCTGCGGGCAGCCGGGGCTGCTGAAGCCCCTTCAGCCTCTCCTGGGGGTCCCTCCTGGCGGCTTTCGGCCACGTGGACGCGGCTTTCGGTGGGCAGGTAATTGGGCACCAGGTCCCACTCCAGGTTGGAGACGATGGGGATCCGGAAGTGCGCGCCCATCCCCGCCCGAAGGACTTTGGGTTCCCAGGCATCCACGCAGCCTGCGGGAGGAGAGGACAAGGGTTAAGGATGGAGCAGCGTTACAATCAATCAATTAATTGTAAGACGGGTGGACTTCAAGTCCCAGGATTCCCCAGTCAGTTACGGGGTCGACTCCTTTTAAAGTAGGCTGGCTGGGGAATTCTGGGAATTGAAGTCCATCCATCTAAAACAGTGGTTCTCAACCTGTGGGTCGGGACCCCATTCGGGGTCGAATGACCATTTCACGGGGGTCGCCAAACAACGCAGTCCGTCATTTTTTCCCCCCTTTTCCTTAGCTGTGCTACTCCCTTTTATTCTATTGGCTTTGGAAAGCCAATAGAATAGACTCTCTTGAATAGAGTCTAATTCTATTGGCTTTCAAAAGCCAATAGGAATTGTCCAGGCTGTCTCTGCCCTGCTGAGCCCGCCAAAAGTCCCATTCTGCAAACGGTGCTGCTGCACCAGTTGAGTAGTCCTCGACTTACGACCGGTTGAGTAGTCCTCGACTTACGACCGGTTGGGGGGTCGCGGCATTAAAAAGGTTGAGAACCACTGATCTAAAATGAATATTGGCTGGGGAATTCTGGGAGTTGAGGTCCAGCCATCTTAAAGCAGGCTGGCTGGGGGATTCTGGGAGTGGAAGTCCACCCATCTTAAAGCAAACTGGCTGGGGAATTCTGGGAGTGAAAGTCCACCTATCTTAAAGCAGGCTGGCTGGGGAATTCTGGGAGTGGAAGTCCACTCATATTAAAGCAGGCTGGCTGGGGAATTCTGGGAGTGGAAGTTCCCCCCCCTCTTAAAGCAGGGAAAGCTCTTCCTCACAGCTCCTCGTCAAAGAAGTCATACCGAAATAAAACCCTTTTTCCACCCCTTTCAAACTGAGGCGCTATGAAAAAAATCTTACGGCTCCCTATCTGCACTCAGGCTGGGCTCAAGAAAACCCCTCCTCTCCTTTGCAGGGGGAACAGTACAGCACCCCCAAAACGGCCGAGTCCTGACTTTGCTAGAGGAGATCCATCCCCACTCCTACCCCGACTCTGCCGATTTCCCCCTTCCCACCCTGTGGAGGAAGAGCCGAGATCGAATCCAGCCTGCTTCTCCCTCCACCGTGCCCGGAAACCCCTTCCCAACCTTTGACAAGCAGCACACTGCAGCAGCCGGCTCCGGCCGCCGACCTCAAGATGGTGCCCAGATTCCCGGGATCCCGAATGTTGTCGCAGATCAGCGTGAGAGGCAAGGCGTGTTCCTGCGGGACTTCGGGATAGGACATTTTGCTCTGATGGGGCATGGCAAAAATGCCTGCAAGAAATCAAGAGAGGCTGGAGGTGACTGGCTGGCAGAGGGAGAGGAAGTTGGGGGGGGGCAGGGGGGAGGAGCAGGTCTTGGTCCACCCCCAGCTGCAGAAGCTCAGTTGCCCTTTCTCAGGCCAGCCTACCTCACAAGGCTGTTGTTAAAGGAAAACAGGAGGAGAAAATCGTAATAACATTTGGACTTATATACCGCTTTGCGGTGTTTTACAGATTGTTGGGGGGGGGGCAGAAGCAAGCGATAGCAATTAGATTTTTATGTTGCTTTACAGCCCCCTCTAAGCGGTTTACAGAGTCACTCTATGGCCCCCAACAATCTGGGTCCTCATTTTACCGACCGCGGAAGGACGGAAGGCTGAGTCCACCTTGAGCCGGTCAGGATCGAACTCCTGGCAGTGGGCAGAGTCAGTCTGCAATGCTGCATTCTGACCACTGTGCCACCATGGGAGGGAAGGAAGGGAAGGGAAGGGAAGGGAAGGGAAGGGAAGGGAAGGGAAGGGAAGGGAAGGAAGGAAGGAAGGAAGGAAGGAAGGAAGGAAGGAAGGAAGGAAGGAAAGGAAGGACGGAAGGAAGGAAGGAAGGAGAAAAAGGAGGAAGAGAAAGAAGAAAAGGATGGAAGCAAGGAATGATAATAGCACTTAGACCAGTGTTTCTCAACCTTGACAATTTTAAGGCATGTGGACTTCAACTCCCAGAATTCCACAGCCAGCATTGCTGGCTATGGAATTCTGGGAGTTGAAGTCCACATGCCTTAAAATTGTCAAGGTTGAGAAACACTGACTTAGACTTATATACCGCTTCACGGTGCTTTACAGCCCTCTTAACTCACTCTCCCCCTCTCCTCCTTCTCCTCAACCTTCCTACTTACTACTCCCCTTCCTCCTATCTTCTCACTCCGGATGCAGTCCCGGGAAAATGCCCGAGCAATTCCTCTCTCCAAATTAAAACATCAATATTATATACAATAAAACTATTTCTACTTATCTGAGCTATTTAACCTCCAACCCATCCTCCCCCACCCCCCTCATTTCCCAGAGCCAAGTACAAGGTTATATAAACATATTAAACATAATCTATTTAAGTTTACTAATTATACAATAACCAAAATCATACTAACCCTTAACTCTCTTCAAACTTTAACATCATAATTTTATAAACAAATCCATTACTCATAAAATAAATGAAACTTTGCAGTTCCATCTTTCTTCTGAACATATTCTATCCATCTTCTCCATACAACAACATATCTCTCTTGTGAATGGTCCTTTAAATAAGCAGAAATTTTAGCCATTTCTGCTAAATTAGAAACCTTAAATACCCATTCTTCTAAAGAAGGCAGAGAGTCTTTCTTCCAATATTGACCCACCAATAATCTTGCTGCTGTTATTAAATTCAACATTAAAATAGTTTCTTTAGCATCAAAATCCACAAAAATACCCAAAAGAAATAACTGGGGAGTAAACTTAATCTTCCTTTTAAAAAACCTTTTGAATGTTCCACCAAACATAATATTTTTACAAGTCACTTTACAGCCCTCTTTAAGCAGTTTACAGAGTCAGCCTATTTGCCCCCAACCATCTGCGTCCTCGTTTTACCGACCTCGGAAGGACAGAAGGCTGAGTCCACCTTGAGCCGGTCAGGATCAAACTGCTGGCTGTGGGCAGAGTCAGCCTGCAATACTGTATTCTGACCACTGAACCACCATGAGAAGGAAGGATGGATGGATGGATGGAAGGAAGGAAGGAAGGAGAAAAAGGGAAGGAAAGAAGGAGAAAAAGGAAGGAAGGAAGAAAGGAGGAAGAAAGAAAGGAGAAAAGGGAGGGAGAGAAGGAAAGAAGCAAACAAGCAATAACAATAGCACTTAGACTTATATACCACTTCACAGTGCTTTACAGCCCTCTCTGAGCAGTTTGCAAAGTTCAGCATATTTGCTCCCCCCCAACAATCTGGGTCCTCATTTTACCGACCTCAGAAGGACGGAAGGCTGAGTCAACCTTGAGCCGGTCAGGATCAAACTGCTGGCAGTGGGCAGAGTCAGCCTGCAATACTATATTCTAACCACTGCGTGGCACAGCTCTTCTATGTCTACCAGTAGCCCTTGATTTACCCGATTCTTTAGCGACCGTTTGAAGTTACAACAGACCTTTCTGAGGGGGGGGGGATACTTTAAAAGTTGTCATTGTTAAATGAGTAACACGGTTGTTAAGTGAATCTGACTACCCTCATTGACTGGGCTTGCCCAAAGGTCGCAAAAGGGGATCCGATGAGCCTCGGGACGCTGCAGCCATCATAGATACGAATCCGTTGCCAAAGATCTGAATTGTGATCACGTGACCACAGGGACGGTGCAAGGGTCGTAAGTGTGAGGAATGCTCCTGAGCCTCTTTGATCCGCCGTAATTTCGGAACAGTCATTAAATGAATGGTTGTAAAGAGAGGACTTCCTACGTCGAGCTGCCCAACTCGCATATGAGGTCACCCTGGGTGGCTTCTATCGTGGTAAAGGTTGTAAAGTTGGGGTTCCACAGTTTAAGGGTTGAACCCCTGAGCTCAAGGGAAAGACTGCTGCCCCTGGCCCAGCCCTGGCCTCAGCTTGAGGGGGACGCCAGCAAGGCGGAAGGACAGGGTAAAAAGGCTTAAAATCTTTCTCTTTTTTCTTTCTCTCTCTTTCTCTCTCTTTTTCCTTCTTTTTTCTTTCTCTTCCTTCTTTTCTCTCTTTTTCTGTTTTTTTCTTTTTCCTTCTCTTTCTCTTTTTCTTTCTCTCTTTCTCTCTCTGTTTTTTCTTTCTCTTTTCTTTCTTTTTCTTTCTTATTTTCTCTCTTTTTTCTCTTTCTCTTTTTTCTTTCTCTTCTGTTTTTCTTTTTGTTTTTTCTGTCTCTTTCTTTCTCTCTTTTTTCTTTCTTTTTGTTTTTCCTTCTTTTTTCTTTTTCTTTCTTTCTTTGTTTTTCTCTTTTTCTTTCTCTCTCTTTTTCCTTCTTTTTTCTTTCTCTTTTTCTGTTTTTTCTTTTTCCTTCTCTTTCTCTTTTTCTTTCTCTCTTTCTCTCTCTGTTTTTTCTTTCTCGTTTCTTTTTCTCTCTTTTCTCTCTTTCTTTCTTTGTTTTTTCTTTTTCTCTTTTTTCTTTCTCTTCCTTCTCTTTTTCTTTTTGTTTTTTCTGTCTCTTTCTTTCTCTCTTTTTTCTTTCTTTTTCTTTTTCCTTCTTTTTTCTTTTTCTTTCTCTTTTTGTTTTTCTCTTTTTCTTTCTTTTTTTCTTTCTCTCTTTTTCCTCCGTTTTTCTTTCTCGCTTTTTCTGTTTTTTTCTTTTTCCTTCTCTTTCTCTTTTTCTTTCTTTTCTTTCTCTCTTTTTTTCTCTTTTTCTTTCTTTTTTCTCTTTTTTTCTCTCTTTCTTTGTTTTTTCTTTTTCTTTTCTCTCTTCCTTCTCTTTCTCTTTGTTTTTTTCTGTCTCTTTCTTTCTCTTTTTCTCTTTCTTTTTTTCCTTCTTTTTTCTTTCTTTCTCTTTCTTTTTGTTTTCTTTTTCTTTCTTTCTCTCTCTTCTTTTTCTTTTTTGCCTTTCTTTCTTTCTTTCTTTCTTTCTTTCTTTCTTTCTTTTTCTTTCTCTTTCTCTCTTTTTGTTTTTCTCTTTTTCTTTTTCTTTTTTTGCCTTTTTCTTTCTCTCTCTTTTTTCTGTCTCTCTTTCTTTCTTTTTCTTTCTCTCTTCCTTCTCTATTTCAGTCTCACCAGTTCAGAAACGTCTTGGCAGCCCCAGAACCAGGGCTAAACCAGGACACATCCTCTCTTGAAAAGCCACAAACTGCTTCTTCGGCCTCCGGTCGGGGTCCCGCCCTCCACCAAAGCTTCATCGCAAAAATCTCGCGCTTTGGGAAATCTGAACGGGCTGAGCAGCACTGAGCCAGAGGCACCGTGGACATCCCTGGCCTCCAAAGCACAACAAGGGGGGGGGGAACGTGAGAAGGTGCGAAGCATCTGCAAGAATTATTTTATTTTTTTTGCAAATATTTTATTGGTTTTTTAAAGAAAAAGTACTCAGGACACACCGTGGTGTTTGGGTAATCAGACATTCCAAAGTAAAAACATAAATAAACAACTCAATACATTCACTGCCTCCTCTCTATTTCCCTCAAATAACATAATACGTTTAAAATATTCCATTTCTAAATTAAATTTTTATTACTACTAAACCTGTTTTAACACTTTATAGTTTACAATTACCAAAATCAAATTTCACTTTAACTCAGTGGTTCTCAACCTTTCTAATGCCGTGACCCCATAATACAGTTCCCCATGTTGTGGTGACCCCCAACCACTTATACATCACTGGGTGCCAGGGGGCGTGGCCAAAGAAAAGGGGGAAAAATGGCGGACAGCCTTGTTTGGCGACCCCCGTGAAATGGTCGTTCGACCCCAAATGGGGTCCCGACCCACAGGTTGAGAACCACTGCTTTAACTCAACAAGTTATCAATTCAGGTATCCCTTCCAGATGTATTCTAGTTCTTAATTTCTCTCATCCCTCCTTTTATCACCAATCTCATTTATTTCTACTTCCATTACACAATAGCTATCTTAATTAAAAAATAACGTTATGCAAGAATTATTTTATGAGACTTTCTCCAGAGCTGCTCCAAGCTTGAACGTCTGGAAAGCAGCCAGCTGTAGATTAATGTATACACACTGCTTGGAAAAGAGCAGAAGGATTACTCAACAAGAAAAAAACACCAAGAAAACAACACCAAGTGCTCTCCTCAGAGGCAGTTCCCGTGAGATCCTACTCAACCTGGCTGCTAAGGCTGGAACAAAGCCCTGAGTCAGCTTGGTGAGAGCGATTAAAGGTGCGGGCCTCAAAACCATGAGAAGGTGAGTTCTAGTCCTGCCTTAGGTACAAAAACTTCTTGGGTGACTTTGGGCCAATCGCTGGGTGACTGTGAGTTCTAGTCCCGTTTTAGGCATGAAATTCGGCTGGGTGACTTTGGGTCAATCACTGGTTGGCATCCTTCAGTCTTGAGAGACTATGACAGACATGTCAAACCCAAGGTCCGGGGGCCAGATGTGGCCTGCAAAGTGGTTTCATGTGGCCCGCGAAGGCATCATGGAAACAGTGAGGGAATGGCCCCCACTGCCTTGGCCCTGGCCCAGGCCGGCCGGGAGCCAACGTACAATTTTGTGGTGGCCATCTATGCTGAAACGCATTCAGTCTTAGCTCCACAAGGCCGTCTGGAAACAGCAAGGAGCCAGCCCCTGCCGCTTTGCCCCTGCCCCTTGAGTGCATGCTGGGGAGGGGTCGCCCTTTGTGAGGAATGAAGAAATGCACCATCGCCTGGAAGTGGCCAGCAAATGGCCCTCGCCTACTTCACCTATCCGGCTTGCCTTGGCACTTGCCCCGGTCCCCACCCCTTGTGCCAGAGACCCTCAGATCTGTCCCACTCCTGCCCAGGCCCCCACAGGCACCCTTGACACCAACAATGTAGAGCTGGCCACACCCACCCAGTAGGCCACACCCACTCCATCCACGTCCACCCAGTAGGCCGCACCCACCCTGGCCACACCCACCCGGCCCCCCAAGGGCAACCACAATGCTGATGCGGCCCTCCATGAAATTGTGTTTGACACCCCTGGACTATGGTATCGTGCTCTGGAAATAGGTCCTAAGGCAGCATCTGATTTGAGAGTGGAAGTCCCTTCCACACTGAGGGCAGATACAATCTGTCCCCTGTCCAGCCCCCAGATTTCGCTGGTTCCGGGACTGCCTCTTTGCACAAGCCTGCTGCACAAGCGTCTCTTTGAATTGGAGAAGGCCACACTGCGTCTTTAGCCTCCAGGCTGAACGATCAGAGGTCAAGGATTCCCAGCTGTTAATGTCCATCCCCAAAGCCTTTAGGTCAGTGGTTCTCAACCTTTTTAATGCCGCGACCCCCAACCGGTCGTAAGTCGAGGACTACTCAACCGGTCGTAAGTCGAGGACTACTCAACTGGTGCAGCACCGTTTGCAGAACGGGACTTTTGGCAGGCTCAGCAGGGCAGAGACAGCCTGGACCATTCCTATTGGCTTTTGAAAGCCAATAGAATTAGACTCTATTCAAGAGAGTCTATTCTATTGGCTTTCAACAGCCAATAGAATAAAAGGGAGTAGCACAGCTAAGGAAAAGGGGAAAAAAATGGCGGACTGTGCTGTTTGGCGACCCCCGTGAAATGGTTGTTCGACCCCAAATGGGGTCCCGACCCACAGGTTGAGAACCACTGCTTTAGGTCCCTCTTGCAGATATCCTTATATCGCAGCTCAAGTCTCCCTCTGGGGCGCTTTCCCTGCACTAGTTCTCCATACAGGAGATCTTTCGGACTCCGACCGTCAGCCATTCTCACGACATGCCCAAGCCAGCGTAGACGTCGCTGCTTCAATAGTGTATACATGCTAGAGCAGCGGTTCTCAAACTGTGGGTCGCGACCCTATTTGGGGTCAAACGACCATTTCACGGGGGTCGCCAAACAACGCAGTCCGCCATTTTTTCCCCCCCTTTTCCTTAGCTGTGCTGCTCCCTTTTATTCTATTGGCTTTTGAAAGCCAATAGAATAGACTCTCTTGAATAGAGTCTAATTCTATTGGCTTTCAAAAGCCAATAGGAATGGTCCAGGCTGTCTCTGCCCTGCTGAGCCCGCCAAAAGTCCCATTCTGCAAACGGTGCTGCACTAGTTGTGTAGTCCTCGACTTACGACCGGTTGAGTAGTCCTCGACTTATGACCGGTTGGTGGTCGCGGCATTAAAAATGTTGAGAACCACTGTGCTAGAGATTCCAGCACATTCCAAGGACTCTGCTATTTGGGACTCTGTCATGCCAGGTGATGCCGAGAATACATCGGCGACAGAGCATATGAAAGGTGTTCAGCTTTCTCTCCTGCCGTACATGAAGGCAGACTCACTGCAGTACAAGAATGTGTTCAAGACGCAGGCTCTATAGACCTGGATCTTTGTATGTTCTGTCAACTTCTTATTAAGCCATACTCTCTTTGTAAGTTTGGAAAATGTGGCGGCCGCTTTACCAATACGTTTATTCAGCTCAGTATCTAAAGAGAGTGTGTCAGAGACAGTTGAGCCGAGGTACACAAAGTCATGGACAACCTCCAGTTCCTGTGCAGAGATTGTAATACGAGGGAGGTGGATCCACATCCTGACCCATGACTTGTGTTTTTTTCAGGCTAATTGTTAGTCAATCCCTAGAAGACTGTGAATTCTAGTTCCACTTTAGGTACAAAAGCTGGCTGGATGACTATGGGCCAATCACTGGTAGAGTGAATTTTAGTTTCCACCTTAGGCACGAAAAGTCAGTTGCATGACTTTGGGCCAATCACTGGGAGAGTGTGAGTTCTAGTCCTGCCTTATGCATGAAAGCCGGCTGTGTCACTTTGGGCCCATCACCGGGAGACGGTGAGTTCTAGTCCTGCCTTAAGCATGAAAGCCAGCTGTGTGACTTTGGGCCCATCACCGGGAGACGGTGAATTCTAGTCCCGCCTTAGGCATGAAAGCTGGCTGGGTGAATTTGGGCCAGCCCCTCAGTCTCAGCCCAACCCACTTCACAGGATTGTTGTGTTGGGGAAAACAGGAGGAGGAAAGATTATTAGATTAGTATTAGTGTTCCCTGCTTCAAGTTACTTATGAAGTCATAAAGGCAGGATAAACCTTTCATAAATCAATAACAACTAAATCTGTAGCCCTCCGGTTTCTTCCGGAACTTACCGATCAACCCCTGTGGAGTGATGACGTCCGACCACATCTTGATTTCGTTGTATTTCACTTTGACAAGGGTGGCCCGTTTGAGTTTGGCTGCCGGCAGCGTCTTCAGATTCTCCATTAGGCTAAAGAAGATTGTCTGCGGAACGGCTCCCGCCTCCAGAGCGTCCAAAATGAGCCTCCGGCCTTCCAGCAGAATTTTCCCATGCTTCTCGCGAAATGCCCTGGACTTCGCCAGGGTCACCAAATTCCTGTCGGGAAAAGAAAATCATTTAAAAAGAAAGAGCACAAGATAGGAACACGGCATCACCAAAAAGATTGACTCACTTTATCTATTTATCTATCTGTCTGTCTGTCTACCCACCTATCCATCCACCTTACATCTGCCTCTTCCTGTCCGTCCATCTGTCCATCCATCCATCCATCCATCCATCCATCCATATCATCTAGCTCTCTAGCTATTTCTATTTATTATTCATCCATCTATCCATTGATCTCTATCTATTCCATTATCTAGTCTCTCTCTATCCATCTCTTCCATCCGTCTATCTATCTATCTATCTATCTATCTATCTATCTATCTATCTATCTATCTATCTATCACCTATCTCTTCCATCTAGGTTCGCCTAGTGCACCAGTTGCGGCCTTATTTGGACCGGGAGGCTTTACTCACAGTCACTCATGCCCTTGTCACCTCAAGACTGGATTACTGTAATGCGCTCTACATGGGGCTACCCTTGAAGAGCGTTCGGAGGCTGCAGTTGGTTCAGAACGCAGCCGCGAGAGCGATTGTGGGCGCGCCAAGGTACGCCCACGTGTCACCTATCCTCCGCGAGCTGCACTGGCTTCCTGTGGGTCTCCGGACGCAATTCAAGGTGTTGGTTATCACCTTCAAAGCCCTTCATGGCATAGGGCCAGGTTACTTACAGGACCGCATTCTGCCGCATAGCTCCCAGAGACCGGTGAGGTCCCATAGATTGGGCCTCCTTCAGGTCCCGTCGACCAGACAATGTCGGCTGGCGGGCCCTCGGGGAAGGGCCTTTTCTGTGGTGGCTCCGACCTGGTGGAATCAGCTTCCCCCCGAGGTTCAAACTACTCCCACCCTGCCGGCCTTTAAGAAGGCCGTTAAAACCCTCCTGTTCCGCCAGGCCTGGGGCTGATGTCCCCGGGGGGCCGGGATATGATCAGACTCGCGGTATGACTGCTTTATTTTATTCTTTTATCATTGTTTTAACTTTGTACGCCGCCCTGAGTCCTTTGGGATTGGGCGGCATATAAATATTGAAAATAAATAAATCTATCTAGCTCTCTAGCTATTTCTATCATTCATCCATCGATCTCTATCTGTTTATTCTATCTACCTTTCATTATCTATCTCATCTTTCTTTCTTTCTTTCTTTCTTTCTTTCTTTCTTTCTTTCTTTCTTTCCTTTCTTTTCCTTTCCCTTTCTTTCCCTTCCTTTCCTTTCCCGGTTGATTCCAAAATTATCATTGCAACGCAACACAGTTGTTAAGCTCCTTTTCTGATTTAGGCCTGATTTGTTTAGTGGTGGAGTAGGGTAGCCACATAGTGCACCAACTGCACATCACAGCTAAAATATTTCACAGGGTAATATGTAATCGAGTAACAAGAAAAAAGGGCTTTTCTCTGAGGGTTTTCTTTTTAGATCAAATGGACTGCAACTCCAACATTGTAGTCCAATAACACTGGTCCTGCTGGCTGGGGAGTGATGGGCATTGATGGAAATCAGGAGTTGGGAATCCAACACATCAGCTACGACAGCGGGTGTGGGGGAAGAAGGAAAGGAACGGGAGAAAACGAATGTCCCCAGCGGATTTTTCAGCAAAAAAAAGAAAAATATAGCTTTTTTCGCCTCAATTCTCCTCAAAACTACAATTCCCAGAAAGCTTTGCGGCAGGTCACAATCCGCGACTCCTGTCTTTTTCTCGAAGGACGCTGGGAATTGTGGTTCGGGACTTCCATTTTCGCTTACTTTCTCCAGATTCTCGCACTACAGCACCCAGGGTGCTTTGCGCGAATGACATTACCTCAGTCTCTTCTCGTTGGGTCCGGCCCGCTCGTAACGAAGCTCCGCCTCTTCATGTTCCGGTTCCGGCTGGCGTTCCTTTCTGGGCGCTTTCGGGATGTAAGGGGTCTTAACTTTGCTGGGGACGATCCGTTGCTGCTCTTGCACCTGCGCCACCGAGGGCAGCACGCGGAGAGGTTTTCTTCTTAGGCCGCGAATGCCGCGGCGGCTCCCAAAGCTAATCCGACACGGCGTCAAGAGCAGAGGAGCCCACGCATGCTTGAGCACGGTTGCCATCTTGCTCGCGGGCGGAAAGTCACACATGTGAGACTTAGCGGTAATCTCGCGAGATTTCGATATGAAGGCGGCTGATAGGAGTCTCGAGTAAAAAAAATGGTTCATTTCAGCCATAGAGGAAATGATATAGAGCGGCTACAGGAACTTCCGGTTAGAAATAGCAGCTCCTATTGGCTGTGGAAAGGATTTTCCGCAGCGAAAGACGCAGTACGCGTGCAGCGACCATGTGCTTGTGACGTCATCACACGGCGACACGCCGCGACAAAATAAAATAGCCGAGAATCCAGAACCCGTGTTAGCTTCCGATCTTTCGAGAGAAGAAAATGAAGGCGAGACGTGCGTTACACTTTGTCTTCAAAGTCGGCGACCGAGCTCAGACCATCCGTTTTTACCGAGAGCTACTGGGCATGCGCGTAAGTAAGCTATAGGGGAGGCGACCAGAGACCCGAGAAAACACGGAGGGCTTTGAGGCTAAGAGATGACGTCATTGATGCGAGCCCCCTGAGGCGGAAAAGCATCGAGATATAGTTTCCTAGAGTGGGCAGTGTGCTACGGCTACCTCTTACACCTAAGTTTCCTTGGAGAGCGTCTTTTGCTTTGCCAATTATAATATTTTAATTTTAAAGATTTACGTTTAAATTATTTTCTATGCAGTTAAGACCGTAGCCCTTTGGCCTTATCTATATTGAAATGGTATAGGACTTCTCTTGCCTGAGTAGGGGGCTGGACTAGAAGACCTCCAAGGTCCCTTCCAGCTCTATTCTATTCTACTACATCATCCTTTGGGGATAGTAGTATACATTTTATTTTATTTTTTTTTCATAATCCTGAGTCCTGCCCATTTGGTTGCAATTTTTAAATAAAGACCTTTTGATTGTGAGGGCTGATAGTCCTTGAATTATGTGACTGTTTTTATGATGGTTTTGCCAATAAATTAGCAGTTACTTCCAGTTTTTGACAAAACCATGCCCATGGTAAACCCCTTAATGATTGCAATATTCACTTAACAAATGTGGGGGTTACAACCACCAGGCTTACTTAATAACTGCCACAAAAAAACCCCTCATAAAATCCGGCCGGTCATATAACACATCCATTTTACGACCATAATGTGCAGTCTCCATTACAATCATAACTCAAGGACTGTCTGCACTCACCCTCAAAGGTATAGAAATATATTTTGCAAATAAATCCGTTTTAAGGGACATTGCCCCCCCCATTCTCTCTCTCTCTCTCTCTCTCTCTCTCTCTCTCTCTCTCTCTATATATATATATATATATATATATATATATATATATATATATAAAAAAAAATCTATCTATATCTATCTATCTATATCTCTATTTCTATCTCTCTATATCTATCTATTTCTCTCTATTTCTCTCTCTCTCTCCGCAAGTGATTTGAATACTGACCAGTTTGACGTGGGTTTGAACCCACAGGTCCTGAGACATGAAGAATTTGAAGAAGGTTGCAAGGCCACGTGCAATGGGTATGTAGGTTTAATTATGGCTACTCTTATCAGAGAAACTGGATTGGAGAATTGACAGGCTGTGCTGTCTCAGAACAACGGACGTGCAGGGAATTTGTCTGTTCTGTCTCCTGCAAAGTTTTTGACGCATTCTACAGGCCATCCTCGACTTAACATTAATTCATTCAGTGGCCACAGTTACAATAGCGCTGAAAAAAAAGTGACTCGTGAACCATTTTTCACACCCAACGACCATTTTTCACACTTAACGGCTGTTGCAGCATCACATAATCAAAATTCAGAAGATCGCCAACACTCCTATTTATGACGGTCGCAGCATCCCAGGGTCACGTGATTCCCCTTTTGTGACCTTCTGACAAGCAGGATCAATGGGGGAAGCCAGATTCACTTAACAACCATGTGACTCACTTAACAGCGGTGGGGATTCTCTTTAACAACTGTGGCAAAAAATTGGTCGTGAAATGGGGCAAAATTCGCTTAACCAATGTCTCACTTAGCAACAGAAAGATTGGGTTCGATTGTGGACATAAGTCGAGGAAGACCTGTAATTGCAGCCCTCCAGCAGGTACGGTGATTTTACCTCCTGCCTTAGCTTGCTTCTTCGGGGAGTCCTCAACTTACAACAGCTGGTTTAGTGACCATTGAAAATTACAACGGCACCGAAAAAAGTCCCTTATGACTGTTTTTCCACACGTAGGATCCTTACTGCTTAATGACCTCAGGATTCACGAATCAACTCCAGTGATTCTCTTAACCACCATGGGAAAAAAGGTCATAAAATGGGGCACAATTCAATCAACAACTGCCTTATTTAGCGGTGGAAATTCTGATCCCCAACCGCGGTCATAAGTTGAGGCCTACCTGTAGACTCCAGGCTTGTTCCAAGGGAAGGGGAAACCGTAGAGATGTTTTGCGATGATGCTGTTCCTGTAAACAAACTAAAGTGGATATGTTTCTAGTCCCTACGATGGCAAATGGAGCAAAACTATGGTGGGCTATGGACCAGAGGATGACCACTTCGTCGCAGAGCTAACTTACAACTACGGTGTTGGGAATTACCACCTTGGGAATGATTTCCTGGTAAGCCACATTCCTGGTATTGCTTTGTGATAGGCATACAATCTGGAATTTGCATAAAAAGAAGAAAGGGTCGTCCTTGGCTTACAACAGTTCATTTAGTGACTGTTCGAAGTTACAACGGCACTGAAAAAAGTGACTTACGACTGATTTTCACTTTTACGACTGTTGCAGCATCCTTTCCCCCGCCCTTCCATGGTCACGTGTTCCAATGTCTGATTGGCTACCACTGTTCCTTGTATGTTTTAGCCTCCAGTCCCCTGATCATCTTTGTTGCTCTTCTCTGCACTCTTTCTAGAGTCTCAGCATCTTTTTTACATCGTGGTGACCAAAACTGGATTCAGTATTCCAAGTGTGGCCTTACCAAGGGCTTGTAAAGTGGTATTAACACTTCTCGTGATTTTGAAGGGCCTAAGGCCCTTCTGACACCGCTCTCATCATCCGAACGCTCATTATAGTATTATATTCATAATTACAGGGATGCTAATAACCCTGTAATATGGATCATGGAAAGGAAGAATTGCCATTAAATTAAGAAGGGAGGGTTGTTTCTTGTCCTGCCTTCAGGGGTTTTGAAGAATAGCTTGACTCCCTCTTCTTTGGGGCAACCCCTCAAATATTGGAAGACTGCTATCCTGTCACCCCACGTCCTTCTCTTCATTAGATTAGACCTTGGCTCTTTTATGACTGGTAGACTTTAACTCCCAGAATTCCTGAGCCAGCCACGCTGAGGAGAAAGGGAGAGGTTTCCATGCTGAGCCATGCTGGCTTAGGAATTCTGGGAGTTGAAGTCCACGAGTCAGAAAGCGGCCTAGGCCAGAGGTAGGCAACCTTGGCTCTTTTATGACTGGTGGACTTCAACTCCCAGAATTCCAGAGCCAGCATGGCTCAGCATGGAAACCTCTCCCTTTCTCCTCAGCGTGGCTGGCTCAGGAATTCTGGGAGTTGAAGTCCATGAGTCATAAAAGCCAAGGTTGCCTACCCCTGGACTTGTTGTTGTTGTTGTTAATTGCGAAGTCGTGTCCGACCCATCGCAACCCCATGGACAACGTTCCTCCAGGTCTTCTGGACTAGACATACCCAATTCCCAGCAACGGTTCCTTATATGTTTTAGCCTCCAGTCCCCTGATCATCTCTGTTGCTCTTCTCTGCACCCTTTCTAGAGCCTTAATATCTTTATTTGTTTGTTTATTTATTATTTTTCCGGTGGTTATACAGGGCACGACTGTTGCATCAAGCCAGGCTGTAAAAAACGCCAGAAAATTGCGGTGGCCACTGAAGGAGATCTCAGCAGGCCTTTACGAATCGGAAGCCCCAGGAGGATATAAGTTCTTTCTGGAAGACAAAGAACAACCTCAAGAAGGTAAGGAGCAGAACAGAACCATGAGGCTGCAGCCACCCTATTTGCCCATCTGATGATGCTCTGAAGCCTAAACTCAGGGAAGATAATAATAATAATAATAATAATAATAATAATAATAATAATAATAAAGTTGGAAGGGACCTTGAAGGTCATCTAGTCCAATCCCCTCCTCAGGCAGGAGAACCTATACCATTTCGGACAAATGGCTGTCCAGTCTCTTCTTAAAAACTTCCAGTGTTGGAGCATTCACCGCTTCTGGAGGCAGGTTGTTCCACTGATTAATCGTTCTCACTGTCAGGAAGTTTCTCCTTAGTTCTAGGTTGCTTTTCTCCTTGATCAGTTTTCCTCCATTGCTTCTTGTTCTGCCTTCAGGCGCTTTGGAGAATAGCTTGACTCCCTCTTCTTTGGGGCAGCCCCTGAGATATTGGATCACTGCTATCATGTCACCCCAAATCCTTCTCTTCATTAAACTAGACATACCCAATTCCAGCAGCCTTTCCTTATATGTTTCAGCCTCCAATCCCCTAATCATCTTTGTTGCTTTTCTCTGCACTCTTTCTAGAGTCTCAACATCTTTTTTACATGTGTACCGCTTTATAAATCTTTAATAGGACCACACTGGGAATACAGGTAGTCCTCAACTTACAACAGTTCACTTAGTGACCATTCAGAGTTACGTCCCTGGAAAAAATGACTTACGAGCGTTTTTCACACTTACGAACGTTGCAGCATCCTCAGAGTCAGGTGATCAAAATTCAGGCCCTTGGCAATGGATTCATATTTATGACGGCTGCAGTGTCCCAGGGGGTCACGTGATCCCCTTTTGCGACCTTCTGACAAGCAAAGTCAATGGGGAAGCCGGATTCACTTAAGAACCCTGTGACTTAACTGCAGTGGTTCACTTAACAACTTGTGGCAAGACACGTCATAAAATGGAGCAAAAAAATCACCTCACAGATGTCTCACTTAGAAATGGAAATTTTGGGCTGAGTTGTCGTCATAAGCTGAAGACTACCTGTACTGCATCCAGTTTTGGTCCCCACGTTACGAAAAAGATATTGAGAGTTTGGAAAAAGTGCAGAGAAGAGCAGCTAGAATGATCCAAGGCCTGAACACCAAAACATAGGAAGAACGGCTGCAGGACTTGGGTTTGGCTAGGCCAGGGGTAGGCCACTTTGGCTCTTTTATGAGTCGTGGACTTCAACTCCCAGAATTCCTGAGCCAGCCATGCTGAGAGGAAAGGGAGAGGTTTCCAAGCTGAGCCATGCTGGTTTAGGAATTCTGGGAGTTGAAGTCCACGAGTCATAAAAGAGACAAGATTGCCTACCCCTGGGCTAGTCTAAAGAAAAGAAGAAATAGGGGAGACATGATAGCAGTGTTCCAGTATCTCAGGGGCTGCCCCAAAGAAGAGAGAGTCAAGCTATTCTCCAAAGCACCTGAAGGCAGGACAAGAAGCAACGGATGGAAACTCATCAAGGAGAGAAGCAACCTAGAACTAAGGAGAAACTTCCTGACAGTGAGGACAATTAACCAGGTTGCCTTCAGAAGCTGTAAATGCTCCAACACTGGAAATTTTTAAGAAGAGACTGGACAGCCATTTGTCTGAAATGGTATAGGTTTTCTGCTTGAGCAGGGGGTTGGACTAGATGACCTCCAAGGTCCCTTCCAGCTTTATTTTATTCTAAGCACTCATATATCCTTCAGAAAGGGATGGGAAACAGCGGGACTGACTGCTAGTTGGGATGTGTTGGTGAAGGTCTCTAATTGATCCATGCTAGAATCCGAATGTCACACGTTGAGTCTGGTCCAGGCCAAGATCTTTTGAATGGCCGAGTGGCCCACCAGCTCACCTTCTTCTGCCATGAAGTCTGGGCTCAAGGCCATCTGTGTTGGTGTTACCCTCCAGATCCGGTGCTGAAGGTGACTCTGGCTGTATCCAACCTGCCGAAATCGGTAGAATACTGGTCCGGGTTGCTGGGCATGAAAGTGTACGAGAAGGACGAAGGGAAGAAGAATGTTTTGCTCGGTTATGCCGATAACCAGGTGAGATTGAGGTTCTTAGGGCAGTGTTTCCCAACCTTGGACACTGTAAGATGGTGGACTTCAACTCCCAGGATTCCACAGCCTGCATGCTTTTAAAATGGGTGGACTTCCACTCCCAGAATTCCTCAGCCAGGATGCTTTAAGATGAGTGGACTCCAACTCCCAGAATTCCCCAGCCAGGATGCTTTAAGATGAGTGGACTCCAAGTGCCAGGATTCCTCAGCCTGCATGCTTTAAGATGAGTGGACTTCCACTCCCAGAATTCCCCAGCCAGTATGCTTTAAGATGGGTGGACTTCAGCTCCAAGAATCCCCCAGCCAGCATGCTTTAAGATGGGTGGACTTCCATTCCCAGAATTCCTCAGCCAGTATGCTTTAAGATGGGTGGACTTCCACTCCCAGAATCCCCCAGCCAGCATGCTTTAAGATGGGTGGACTTCCACTCCCAGAATCCCCCAGCCAGCATGCTTTAAGATGGGTGGACTTCCACTCCCAGAATCCCCCAGCCAGCATGCTTTAAGATGGGTGGACTTCCACTCCCAGAATTCCCCAGCCAGCATGCTTTAAGATGGGTGGACTTCCACTCCCAGAATTCATCAGCCAGGATGCTTTAAGATGGGTGGATTTCCACTCCCAGAATCCCCCAGCCAGCATGCTTTAAGATAGGTGGGCCTCAACTCCCAGAATTCCTCAGCTGCCTGAAGCAATTCCTAAAGCATGCTGGCTGGGGAATTCTGGGAGTGGAAGTCTACCCCTCTTATAGAATATAAATCCTTCCATTCCCCACCATCCAGTCAGAGCTGAGGAAGCTTCTTGGATGAGAAGCGAAACGTCTTCAAAGAAAAAACAAAGTCCAGTTGCCTCCTGAAAAAAAGCACCTTTGGGGCATTCTCTCCCAAGGCAGACCAACTAGAACAGTGATGGCGAACCTTTTAGAGACCAAGTGCCCAAAACTGGCCCCGCCCCCGCTCTCCCCCCATCCCGTGCCCCGCCTGCCCGCAGGGCCAATCACCGCCTCCAGGGCCTGCCACAGATCGCCCAGGCAGCCCAGCAGCGGTATGGCAGCCACGCCCTCTGCCCGCGCCCTGCAGCATCAACTGTGCACAATGGGGCGTGAGGGAAGAGTCTTGTCTACGCTTCCTGGCTGCCATGTCCTTGGCTGCGCTGCTCCGTGTGGGCCACGCTCGGGGGCGACTCTCCTGGAGAGGAGGGGGTCGCGATGGGAGGCGAGGCTGGGGCAACGGCACATGTGCCCACAGAGAGGGCTCCGACTGCCGCCTCTGGCACCCGTGCCACAGGTTCGCCACCACTGAACTAGAAGAAGACTGTCTAAAGTCCACAAAAATTTATATTCCAGGCCAGGGGTAGGCAACCTTGGCTCTTTTATGACTGGTGGACTTCAACTCCCAGAATTCCTGAGCCAGCATGGCTCAGCATGGAAACCTCTCCCTTTCCCCTCAGCATGGCTGGCTCAGGAATTCTGGGAGTTGAAGTCCACCAGTCATAAAAGAGCCAAGGTTGCCTACTACTGATCTAGGCCAGGGGGAGGGAATCTTGGCTCTTTTAGGACTCGTGGACTTCAACTCCCAGAATTCCTGAGCCAGCATGGCTCAGCATGGAAACCTCTCCCTTTCCCCTCAGCATGGCTGGCTCAGGAATTCTGGGAGCTGAAGTCCACCAGTCATAAAAGAGCCAAGGTGGCCTACCCCGATCCAGACATTTGTGGCATCCTGAACAAGTTTGACAGCTGCGCGAAAACTGACTGGTTTCCTTTTTGTGTGGCCTTTTTGGCAAGTCCAATTGTTTTCCTTTCTTTTTTCTTCTAGTGTAAACTCGAGCTGCAAAGCATCGGCCAGGATGTGGACCACGGCACGGCCTTCGGGCGAATCGCCTTCTCTTGCCCCAAGGAAGAGGTGAGATCTTTGTGCGAGAGGAACGAAGGTCTCATTTTACGGCCACAGTTTAGCCCAGAATATTTCCATTGCTAAGCAAGTCAGTGGTTAAATCAGTTTTGCATCACTTTTTTGCCACACTTGTTCAACAAATCATGCAGTCGTTAAATGAATCCATCTTTCCCCATTGACTTGGATCAGGGGTAGACAACCTTGGCTTTTATGACTCATGGACTTCAACTCCCAGAATTCCTGAGCCAGCCATGCTGAGGGAAAGGGTTTCCAAGCTGAGCCATGCTGGCTCAGGAATTCTGGGAGTTGAAGTCCACAAGTCATGAAGGGGCCATAATTCCCCCATGCTGGCTCAGGAATTCTGGGAGTTTGAAGTCCACAAGTCATGAAGGGGCCATAGTTCCCCCATGCTGGCACAGGAATTCTGGGAATTGAAATCCATGAGTCATGAAGGGGGCCATAGTTCCCTCATGCTGGCTCAGGAATTCTGGCAGTTGAAGTCCATGAGTCATAAAAGGGTCATAGTTCCCCCATGCTGGCTTAGGAATTCTGGGAGTTGAAGTCTACCAATCATGAAGGGGCCATAGTTCCCCCATGCTGGCTCAGGAATTCTGGGAGTTGAAGTCCACGAGTCATAAAAGGGTCATAGTTCCATGCTGGCTCAGGAATTCTGGGAGTTGAAGTCCACCAATCATGAAGGGGCCATAGTTCCCCCATGCTGGCTCAGGAATTCTGGGAGTTGAAGTCCATGAGTCATAAAAGAGCCAAGGTTGCCTACCCCTGACTTGGATTGTTGGAAACGAGCTAGGTGATCACCTAACCCCGGGATGCTGCAACCGTCGTAAGTTCATGCCAGTTGCCAATCGCCCCAATTTTGATCACATGAATGCCACAATAGTCATAAGGGTGAAAAACGGTCATAAGTCATATTTTTTTGGTGCTGTTGAACACCAGACAATCACTAAACCAATGGCTGTAAGTCAAGAACTTATCCGTATGTTTATAGTACAAAACTGTCAGGAATAAGGAAGGGGTTGAGGATTTTGAATAATGTTTCAAAAATGATTTTATGTCTTGAAAAAATTTACATTCGAAAAGCTCTTTTTACATTTTGAAAATACTTTGTTTACATTTTGAAAAGGTTTTCCTGTTCTGAACATTCTTTCTACATTTTGAAAACCTTTTCACGTTTTAAAAACCCTCTTTTATGTTTTGAAAAATCTTTTTACATGTTCAAAACACTTCCTTTTTGCCTTTTGAAAATACTTTGCGTTTTGGAAAATGCTCTCACGTTTTGAAAACACCCTTTCCTTTTACGTTTTGAAAAAGCTCTCCCTTTTTGCGTTTGGAAAATACTTCGTTTATGTTTGTGAAAACACTTCTTTGCCATGTTTTGAAAATATACTTTCCTTTTATCTTTTGAAAATACTTTCTCAGGGGGGCTGTGGTTTGCACAAAATTGACCGTGCCTATCTTTTATTTGGCCTTCTCTCCCCCCCCCCTCCACAATGTCTCCTGGTTTGGATCCTGTTTCTCGCCATCGGCCAAGTTGCCTGTTATTGAAGCCTTAATGAAAAAGGAGAACCAGAAGATTTTGACTCCTTTGGTGAGCCTGGACACACCCGGGAAAGCGACTGTGCAAGTTGTGATTTTGGCTGATCCTGTAAGTGCCCTTGATTAAAATAAATATGTATCTGGATGGTGAGCAGGGCTTTTGTTTATTTCCAGTCTGTGCCTTTCAGAGGTAGACTGCTCCTGAACGTGAAGGCTTTACGAATAAATGATGGCTAAAACCCACAGTGGCTGGTGATGCAAGGACCCTAGTCCTCAAGTTATTACCACAGTTCAGCCCAAAATGTATATTGCTAACTGAAGCATTTGTTAAGTGAATGATTGCATTGGATAAGCTAGTAACCCGGTTGTTAAGTTAATCCACTGACTTTGCTTGTCAAAAGGTCGCAAAAGCGGGTCACGTGACCCCAGGACCGTCATAAATAGGAGTCAGTTGCCAAGCATCCGAATTTTGATCACGTGACCCTGGGGATGCTATAACAGTCGTAAGTCCGAAAAAACGGTCATAAGTGACTTTTTTTTCAGCGGTCGCTCAATGAACTGTTGTAAAATGAGGACCATCTGTATTCTCCACTAATTTGCTTCCTTCTTAAAGGAACATTTTAGGGTCTGTGACAGAGTTTGTGGCTATGAATTCCACCAAGGAGAGGTTTTGTGGGTGTGTGCTGATTGTGTGTCCATTTTGCTGGCACACGGGAGTTCTAGTGCAAAACCAGAAATGTCTCTTTCTCCAGATTTGGAATTTTAAAAATGGAATTTAAAAATGCTTCAAATCTTCTTTTTTTTAAAAAAAAAAAAAGTTTTATTTTTTTTAACAGATTTCAATAATAATTATTCAACGAAAATGTGTTGTCTGAGTATCTTATTCACTAGTACAAATTAAATTCCTAATCCCTAAATCTTTTCTCTAACCAATTGTAAAATAGGTCCCAAGTTTGAAAATTTTCTGTTTCTTCTTTTTTCTGTCAACCTTAAAGTAAGTCTGCCCCTTTCCGCACAGTCTAGTATTTTTTTTTTATTATTTCTTCTTCTAGTGGTATTTCTTTGTTCTTCCAATATTGTGCAAATATAATTCTTGCCACAGTTATTGCATGTAGAATCAAATATGTACTTTGCTTATCAAATTTTTCTGGCATTATACCTAGTTAAAAAAAATAGGTTTATAGTCTATGTGTTTCTCTAACATTTTTTCTAACCAAGTGTGTATTATTGTCCAATGTCTCCTTGCTTTAACACATGTCCACCAGTCCCTGGTTTGTGTTTACATTTCCAACATTTCTCTGACATATTTTTAAACATTTTTGCTAATCTTGTTGATGGCAAATGCCATCTATAAAACATTTTATATAGGTTTTCTTCGTACAAAGCTGACATTGTCACTTTATAGTTTCTTTCCCACAAAGATGCTTCAAGTCTTAAAGCTAGCCCTAACAATGAGCAGAATCATGCATTGGTTGGGGTTCTGGGAGACCATCTAGTCCAGCCCCCTTGCTCACTACAGGACGTCCTCAACTTTACCACCACAACTCCACCCCAAACTTTTGTTGCTACGCGAGGTGGGTGTTAAGTGAATTTTGCCCCATTTTACGACCTTCAAAACCTGTGCCTTTATATTGGATTGTTCACTTTTTGTGAGACGGTCAGTTGGATCAATAAACAGATTGAATAAATACAAGTAGCCCTCCATTTACAACCGTTCGTTTAGTGACCGTTCAGAGTTACAAGGGCGCTGGAAGAAAAAGGTCACTTAGGACCGTCTTTCACGCCGACAACCATGGCAGCAATCCTACGTAGTCAAAATTTGGACACTTGGCAAGTGACTCCTATTTATGACGGTCGCAGTATCGGGGGGATCACGTGACCCTCTTTTGGGACCTCCTAACAAAGTCAACGGGGGAAGCCAGATTCACTTAACAACCGGGGCAAGAAAGGTCGTAAGATGGGGGCAAAACTCATTTAGCCACAGAAACGTTGGGCTCCATTGCGGTCATAAGTCGAGGACTTACCCGTATGTAAATTTAGCGGTGCAGGTAGGTCCATTGGAACTGGCTGACAAGCCAAGTCACGGCCCGAAGTTCCAAAGACACAAAATAAATGTGTACCGCTCGTCCTCTCCACATCTTGCTGGGTAACAACCCAATGATGTTGCCTCTCTCCCTCTATCTCTCTCTCTTCAATTTCTCGTAGGACGGCCACGAAATCTGCTTCGTGGGCGACGAAGCCTTTAGGCAGCTCTCAAGGGTGGACCCAGACGGCGAGAAGCTCCTGGATGAGGTGAGTCAGGGGGGGGGGGGTGTCTTCCCTTCGAGGTTTCTAATAAATGTGGATCCCCAGAAGAGGCCGGGGAACTTTAGAATAGAATGGAATGGAATGGAATGGAATGGAATGGAATGAAATGGAATGAAATAGAAAATATGGAATGGAATGAAATGGAATAGAATAGAATGGAATGGAATAGAAAATATGGAATGGAATGGAATAGAAAATATGGAATGGAATGGAATAGAATATAGAATACAATACAATAGAATGGAATGGAATGGAATAGAATAGAATGGAATGGAATAGAAAATATGGAATGGAATGGAATGGAATGGAATGGAATAGAATAGAATAGAATAGAATAGAATAGAATAGAATAGAATAGAATAGAATAGGAGCTGGAAGGGGCCCTGGAGGTCTTCTAGTCCAGCCCCCTGCTCAAGCAGGAGAACCTACACCAGGGGTAGGCAACCCAAAACACTCAAAGAGCCACTTGGACCCGTTTCCCACCGAAAACAAAACACCGGGAGCCGCAAAAGCCTTTTGATATCTAAAAGGAAGATAATACTAATATAACAAATGAAGATAAAGGTAAAAAAAGGATATATGCCATGTTTCTCAACCTTGACAATTTTAAGGCATGTGGACTGCAACTCCCAGAATTCCACAGCCAGCAATGCTGGCTGTGGAATTCTGGGAGTTGCAGTCCACATGCCTTAAAATTGTCAAGGTTGGGAAACACTGATATATGCAGCGTTATTTTAGATGTCAAAAGGGTCTCTCTCTGCCTCCCTCTCTCTCTCTCTCTCTCTCCCTCTCTCTCCCTCTCTTTCTCTCCCTCTCTTTCTCTCTCCCCCCCTCTCTTCCTCTCTCCGATCTTCTGTTCACTTGGCAAACTGGCTTCAAGCTGTTCTCCAACCAGCTGACACACATTCTGATTGGGCTAGCTCAGGGGTAGGCAACCTGGGCTCTTTTATGACTCATGGACTTCAACTCCCAGAATTCCTGAGCCAGCAGAGCTGGGCTAGCTAGCTCTCTCCTGCCCTTCCTGTTTCCTGTTTCCTGCTTCCTGCAGAGACGCAGCAAAGGGAGGAGCTCCGCCCAATAAGCTTTTCAGCTCCTCGGAGAACACCGTGAGTCCACTCTCTTTTTTACACACAAACACACGCAAACACACACAGAGAGAGAGAGAAGCAGGGAAGCACAAGTGCCTCTGTCTCTGTCTCTCTCTGCAAATGGCAGAGGAGGCTGGGAGCCACAGGGGAAGGCTCAAAGAGCCATATGCGGCTCCGGAGCCACAGGTTGCAGACCTATGACCTACACCATCTCAGACAAGTGATTGTATAGCCTCTTCTTAAAAACCTCCAGGGATGGAGCACCCACAATTTCTGGAGGCAAGCTGTTACACTGGTTCATTGTCCTTACTGTTAGGACATTTCTCCCTAATTCCAGGATGCTTCTCTGTTTGATGAGTTTCCAACCATTGTTTCTTGTCCTGCCCTCTGGTGCTTTGGAGAAGAATGGAATGGAATGGAATGGAATGGAATGGAATGGAATGGAATAGAATAGAATAGAATGGAATAGAATAGAATAGAATAGAATAGAATAGAATAGAATAGAATAGAATAGAATAGAATAGAATAGAATAGAATAGAATAGAATAGAACAGAATAGAACAGAACAGAACAGAACAGAACAGAACAGAATAGAATAGAATAGAACAGAATAGAACGGAATAGAATAGAGAAGAATGGAATGGAATGGAATGGAATAGAATAGAATAGAATAGAATAGAATAGAATAGAATAGAATAGAATAGAATAATCAGGAAGAAGAATGGAATGGAACAGAACAGAATAGAATAGGAGCTGGAAGGGACCTTGGAGGTCTTCTAGCCCAGCCCCCAGCTCATGCAGGAGAACCTACACCGTCTTAGACAAGTGACTGTCCAGCCTCTTCTTAAAAACCTCCAGTGATGGAGTGCCCACAATTTCTGGGGGCAAGCTGTTCCACTGGTTCATTGTCCTCACTGTCAGGACGTTCCTTCTTCACGTGACCATGGGGATGCTGTGCAACAGGGTCTTAAGTAGGAGAAATGGTCCTAAGACACTTTTTTGAGTGCCCTTGTAACTTCCAATGAAGGAGAATATTTGTAGCTCAGGGCTGAAATGAGGGGCCTTGGTGCTCTCTGAGCTGGGTGGTTTTCTTGCAGACGTCTCATGACCCAACTAGGGAACATCATCGGTGCTAGAAGGGAGCAGGAGGACTGTGGGGTCCTTGGTGCTCTCTGAGCTGCGTAGTTTCCTTGCAGACGTTTCATCACCCAACTAGGTAACATCATCAGTGCTAGTAAGGGATGCTGTTTGCAGTCGCTTTATATTCTGGTGCCTTACCTGTCTGTGTGGGGGTGAAGCTGTTGAAGCTTCTTGGAGCCTTTTTGAAACTGTTTCAGCCGTTCCAAGAAGGCTCCACCCCCACTTGTACCGCTGAGGAATTCTGGGAGTTGAAATCCACAAGTCATAAAAGGGCCCAGTTTGAAGACCCCTGTCCTTGATCCATGGCAGTGTACTTCTCCACCAGTAATCAGCACTCAGATCAGCGTAGATTAACTCCCAAGGTCAACGTCAGACCCACAATCAAGTAAGCAACACCCCTGTCAAGAAACTGCCCCAGAGCTATTAATAAACAGCCCAAGCAAAGAATCACCAAGGCCACACACACACACACACACAGCCAGACAGGCAAGACACTAGACCAGTGGTTCTCATCCTGTGGGTCGGGACCCCATTTGGGGTCGAACGACCATTTCACGGAGGTCGCCAAACAACGCAGTCCGCCATTTTTTCCCCCTTTTCCTTAGCTGTGCTCCTCCCTTTTATTCTATTGGCTGTTGAAAGCCAATAGAATAGACTCTCTTGAATGGAGTCTAATTCTATTGGCTTTCAAAAGCCAATAGGAATTGTCCAGGCTGTCTCTGCCTTGCTGAGCCCGCCAAAAGTCCCATTCTGCAAACGGTGCTGCACCAATTGAGTGGTCCTCGACTTACGACCAGTTGAGTAGTCCTCGACTTACGACCGGTTGGGGGTCGCAGCATTAAAAAGGTTGAGAACCACTGCACTAGAATGAAAAACGGACAGCAAACAGCATTCCTTACTAGCACTGATGATGTTCCCTAGTTGGGTCATGAAACGTCTGCGAGAAAACAAGCAAGCTCAGAGAGCACCAAAGATCCCACAGTCCTCCTCCTCCTCCTCCTCCTCCCTGCAAACCCCACTCCTTCTAACACTGATGATGTTCCCTAGTTGGGTCCTGAAACGTCTGCGAGAAAACAAGCAAGCTCAGAGAGCACCAAGGACCCCTTTTAATTTCGAACAGTCACTAAATGAATTATTGCAAGCCGAGGACTATCTGCATTTTGTTTTACTTCCTTGCAGGCAATGGCGGCCGATAAAAGCCACGAGTGGTTTGCCAAACATAACCGCTCCAAGCCTTCGGCATAACCCACCGGGGTTTGCTAACCCCCGGCTCCCTCTGAGCCTGGAAAACAGGAAGCTTAAATCCCATCTCTGCGGTACTGCCAGATTATTATTTTTTTCTCTGCCTCTTCTGGGTCCTGTAGTGTTTTGCAGGGAGGAAGCGATTGTGTGTTCCAGTTAGCAGAACCCGAACCTTGCACCAATTGTGGTGACGACCTGTCTTATTTTTTTTTTCTGCACACTTTCTTTTCTCATTCCACTCAAAAAGCACCCGTCGAACGTTGGGCTGGGAAATTACTCGGAACCAATTGCAGGAATATCTTTAGCCTGTGTGTTAAAATGGAGATTTTGTTGTTGTTGTTATTTTGGTGTTTTTGTTTTTTTCCCTAAACCTTTGATTTAATTCTAGCAAGTTGTGTATTCCGCCCAGCTTACCGTGGCTCAAATTTTGAGGGTGCAGACAGTGCCACATTTTGGTGGCAGGCACAGAGATTCAGGGTGCTGTACTTTCAGCCGCGCAAAACGTGGATGGCATATTTATAACTGCCATTGTGACTTTTTGGGGGCCAACTTTGCCCCGCTTCGGGCTTTTTTTTCACTTCCCCTCCACCCTAAACATTATTGCATATTCCATCCAACTCAAGATTTACGAACAATACAGGCAGCTGAATGACGTCACCAACGCTAAAGCTGGTTTAGAGGCTAACAGGAGGAAAAAACGCTGACGAGACGGCCTGCAAAATGTCAAATGTGAAATCTATGGAATTAAAAAAAAACTATAAAAATGTTTGCATATGTCTTGTTTCTTTCCCTGCAGGCAGTGGTGGCCGATAAAAGTCACAAACGATTTGCTGAACATAAGCGTTACAAGCCTTTGGTATAGCCCGCCAGGAATTGCTAACCCATGATTAATTGTTCTTGCTATCAAATCCGTCCTTATGTCCAGGTTAGATCTCTCAGAATAGAATGGAGCTGGAAGGGACGTTGGAGCTCTTCTAGTCCAACCCCCTGCATAAGCAGGAGCCCCTAGACCCAGGGTAGGCAACCTTGGCTCTTTTATGACTCGTGGACTTCAACTCCCAGAATTCCTGAGCCAGCATGGCTTAGCATGGAAACCTCTCCCTTTCTCCTCAGCATGGCTGGCTCAGAAATTCTGGAGTTGAAGTCCACCAGTCATAAAAGAGCCAAGCTTGGAGACCCCTGATCAAGGGTCTCCTGCTTGAATGGGGGGGGGGGTTGGACTAGATACAGGGGTAGGCAATCTTGGCTCTTTTATGACTCGTGGACTTCAACTCCCAGAATTCCTGAGCCAGTGTGGGGGAACTATGGCCCCCTCATGACTGGTGGACTTCAACTCCCAGAATTCCTGAGCCAGTGTGGCTCAGCATGGAAACCTCTCCATTTCTCCTCAGCATGGCTGGCTCAGGAATTCTGGGAGTTGAAGTCCACGAGTCATAAAAGAGCCATGGTTGCCTACCCCAGGCCTAGACCATTTCAGACAAGTGGCTGTCCGGTCTCTACTTAAAAACCCCCAGTGATGGAGCACCCATAACTTCTGGAGGCAAGTTGTTCCACTAGTTAATTAACAGAATAACACAATTGGAAGGGACCTTGGAGGTCTTCTAGTCCAACCCCCTGCTCAAGCAGGAAACCCTATGCCATTTCAGACAATGGCTGTCCAGTCTTTTCTTAAAAACCTCCAGTGTTGGAGCATTCACAGCTTCTGGAGGCAAGTTGTTCCACTGGTTAATTGTCCTCACTGTCAGGAAGTTTCTCCTTAGTTCCAGGTTGCTTCTCTCCTTGATGAGTTTCCATCGTTTCTTGTCCTGCATTCAGGTGCTTTGGAGAATAATTTGACCCCATCTTTTTTGTGGCAGCCCCTCAGATACTGGAACCCTGCTATCCTGTCTCCCCTATTTTTTATTTTCTTTAGACTAGCCAAACCCAAGTCCCGCAGCCGTTCTTCATATGTCTTAGTCTCCACGCCCTTGATTATCTTAGTTGCTCTTCTTTGCACTTTTCCCAAAGTCTCAACCTCTTTTTTGGAATGTGGGGACCAAAATTGGCTGCAGGATTCCAGGTGTGGCCTTACTAAGGCTTTATAAAGCGGTACTAATACAGATCTTGGTTCTGTGCCTCTGTTTATACAACCCAGGATTGTATTAGCCTTTTTGGCTGCTGCCGCACACGGCTGGCTCATGTTTAAGGGATCGTCCACTGGGACTCCAAGATCCCTCTCACAGTTAACTGTTTTGGAGTAACTGTGTTACTCAAACACAGCAACTCAATTAACCCTCTTTAATGATCTTCCACATTGCTTCTTGTCTTGCCCTCAGTTGCTTTGTAGCACTGGTTCTCAACCTGTGGGTCGGGACCCCATTTGGGGTCGAACGACCATTTCACGGGGGTCGCCAAACAACGCAGTCCGCCATTTTTTCCCCCTTTTCCTTAGCTGTGCTACTCCCTTTTATTCTATTGGCTTTTGAAAGCCAATAGAATAGACTCTCTTGAATAGAGTCTAATGCTATTGGCTTTCAAAAGCCAATAGGAATTGTCCAGGCTGTCTCTGCCCTGCTGAACCCGCCAAAAGTCCCATTCTGCAAACGGTGCTGCACCAGTTGAGTAGTCCTCGACTTACGACCGGTTGAGTAGTCCTCGACTTACAACCGGTTGGGGGTCGCGGCATTAAAAAGATTGAGAACCACTGCTTTGGAGAATAGGTCTTGATGTAGTACAGCTAGTCCTCAACTTATGACCACAATCGGGTCCAAATATTCTGTGTCCAAGCAAGACCGTTGTGAAGTGTGTTTTGCCCCATTTTACGACCTTTCTTTCCACAGGTGTTAAGTGAATCACTGCAGTTGTTAAATTAGTGATGCGGTTGTTAAGTGAATCTGGCTTCCCCCCATTGACTTTGCTTGTCAGAAGGTCGCAAAAGGGGATCCCGTGACCCCGGGACACTGCGACCATCATAAGGGTGAGTCAGTTGCCAAACGTCTGAATTTTGACCACGTGAGCAAGGGGGATGCTGCAAAGGTCGTAAGTGTGAAAAACGGTCATAAATCACTTTTTTCAGCACTGTTGTAATCTCGGTCACTAAATGAATTACTGTAAATTGAGGACTACACGTAGTTATAATAATAATAATAATAATGATAATGATAAAGTTGGAAGGGACCTTGGAGGTCATCTAGTCCAACCCCCTGCTCAGGCAGGAAATCCTACACCATTTCGGACAAATGGCTGTCCAGTCTCTTCTTAAAAACTTCCACTGTTGCATTCACCCCTTCTGGAGGCAGGTTGTTCCACTGGTTAACTGTTCTCACTGTCAGGAAGTTTCTCCTTAGTTCTAGGTTGCTTCTCTCTTTGATTAGTTTCCACCCGTTGCTTCTTGTCCTGCCCTCAGGTGCTTTGGAGAATAGCTTGACTCCCTCTTCTTTATGGCAGCCCCTGAGATACTGGAACACTGCTATCATGTCCCCCCCCCCTCCTTCTCTTCCTTAAACTAGACATACCCAATTCCAACAACCGTTCCTTGTAAGTTTTAGCCTCCAGTCCCCTGATCATCTTTGTTGCTCTTCTCTGCACTCTTTCTAGAGTCTCAACATCTTTTTTACATCGTGGCGACCAAAACTGGATGCCGTATTCCAAGTGTGGCCTTAACCAAGGCCTTGTAAAGTGGTATTAATACTTCACGTGATCTTGATTCTCTCCCTCTGTTAATGCAGCCCAGCACTGTGTTGGCTTTTTTGGCAGCTGCAGCACACGGCTGGCTCCTATTTAAGGGATTGTCCACTAGGACTCCGAGATCCCTCTCACATAGGTCTTCATGTAGCACAATCCCATACTAGCAAGCTAACTAAGCCTTACCACTAAGTCAAGTTGGCAGACACAAAGGAGCCGTTTAGGCAACTTGATCTACCCTTTATTAATCTTACCGGGAAGGGAGAGATAGAAGGAAGGGAAGCTGGGACTTGCATCCGGCTTAAATGCTGCTACGACTCAGAGCTTCCCCCCCCCCCGTCATTCCTGCCTCTCCTTTCTGCCAAGCTGGTTCTTCAAGGCTCCGCTGCTTACAGATCCTCCAGGTTTCCACTCCTCCAGCCAGGCCATTTTTCCCAGAAACAGCCAGTTCACCCAGAGAGAGAGAGAGGTCACCAACTTTTAACGACTGAAATAATTGGTTTTTTCCGGGCCGGAGGCAGCTGCCCTCACTTGTTCGACCACTGCAGAGGTTTCCTCAAATTCAGACGGTGGCAGGTGGTCATCAGCGCCCCTTCCTTCTGGCCGGTGCAGAGCGACTGGCGGCTGATCAAGCGGGTGTCCGATTTATAAAAGCTGTCCCTTGGGGGGGGGGGAGAGAAAGGGAAACTCATCAGAGGCAACCAAAGATTTTGGAATCTGTGCTGTGTGCCTTTATTTTATTTTTTTCTTTCGTCTTCGAGTCTGTTTTGAATCGTGGCCGCTGCCTGGACAAGTCTCAAGTCCCTGTTGTTTTTCTGATGAGATTTCAGAAACCATTGGACCTCACCTCTCCTGCTCCTGCTCCTGCTCCTCCTCCTCCTCCTCCTCCTCCTCCTTCTACTCCTTGTCCTCCCCTTCTCCTTCTAGCACTGATGGTATTGCCTAGTTGGGTAAGGAAACGTCTGCCAGAAAACTACCAAGCTCAGAGAGCACCAAGGACCCCCATACTCCCCCTTCTTCCTCCTTCTCCTCCTCCCTGCCAACCCCACTCCTTCTAACACTGATGATGTTACCTAGTTGGGTCATGAAACGTCTGCGAGAAAACAAACAAGCTCAGAGAGCACCAAGGAACCGCATCTACATGGAGGGAAGTGTGTAGTGGGGTGCCCCAGGGCTCTGTTCTGGGCCCAGTGGTCTTCAGCAGCTTCATCAACGATTGGACGAGGGGATAGATGGGGAACTTATCAAATTTGCAGACGACACCAAGCTGGCAGGAATAGCCAACACTCCAGAAGACAGGCTTAGGATACAGGAGGATCTGGACAGACTTGAACACTGGGCGCTATCTAACAAAATGAAATTCAGTGGTGAAAAAAGCAAGGCTCTACATTTAGGCAAGAAAAACCAAAGGTATAGGTATAGTATAGGGGGTACCTTGCTCAATAGAAGCAACTGTGAGAGGGACCTCGGAATCCTAGTGGACAATCCCTTAAATAGGAGCCAGCCGTGTGCTGCAGCTGCCGAAAAGGCCAACACAGTGCTAGGCTGCATTAACAGAGGGATAGAATCAAGATCACGTGAAGGATTAATACCACTTTACAAGACCTTGGTAAGGCCACACTTGGAATCCTGCATCCAGTTTTGGTCACCACAATGTAAAAAAGATGTTGAGACGTTGAAAAGAGTGCAAAGAAGAGCAACAAAGATGATCAGGGGACTGGAGGCTACAACATATGAAGAACGGTTGCAAAATTGGGTATGTCTAGTTTAACGAAGGGAAGGACGAGGGGGGACAGGATAGCAAGTCTCCCAATATTTGAGGGGCTTCCACAAAGAAGAAAAGGTCAAGCTCTTCTCCAAAGTGCCTGAGGGCCAGACAAGAAGCAACGGATGGAAACTAACCAAAGAGAGAAGCAACTTAGAACTAAGGAGAAACTTCCTAATCGTGAGGACAATTAACCAGTGGAACCACCTGCCTCCAGAAGCGGTAAATGCTCCAACACTGGAGGTTTTTAAGAAGAGACTGGTTGACCACTTGTCAGAAATGGTGTGGTAGGGTCTCCTGCTTGGACGGCGGCGCGGGGGGGGGAAGGTTGGACTAGACT